GATTATCTGCAAAACAGGAGCATTTTCAGCATCTGTCTCAGAGTTAGGAAGAGACCCTAAGCTGACATTTTGCAGTGCATGTGCTCTGCCTGTGCTGGAGCTCGGCGGGGCATGAGCTTCCAGCAGGTGGAAAGCTGAATTTGAAGTTGCAGCATGCGAGGAGGCATGGAGCAGGGGAAGGCTGGAGCTGGGAGGACAGGAGGGGCAGGTCGCCGAGGGTGAGGGGCTTGGAGGCAGATGCAGAAGTCTGTGGGGAGGAGCGGAGGAGACACAAGGCCCAGTGCTTTTCCCAGCTGGTTGCTGGTAACCAGGTGTTGCCTGTGTAATCTGATGTGAAATAAACCACCACCAGACAGGGAAGTGCTGACTTCCAGAGCTGCATCTGGGTGCCTGTTTCTATTTCCTGGGCTGCCCTGTCCACTCTGTGTTTCCTGTCTGGGCTGAATAATTAAGGTGAGCCATGCTGGCCTAACCTCCCCAGGCTGTTGAGAATCAGGGGTTCTGGGCTCTGTGCTGAGTGCTGCCAGACCCCGTGACCTGTCTGTGGTGGCAGTTTCCATCCGGGGGTTCCCCACCAATGCTGGGGGACTCCAGCCACTCACTGTGTAGCCATGAGGCCCTCCCACTTCCATCCACTCGGGGTCTGGGATATAGGAGACGCTGGCAGGGCCCTATGTTGGCACAACGGCCTGGGAAGGAGTGGGCAGGTCTGTCTGTGCCACCTCAGCCCTTAACAGGAACACCCCCCCACACCCCGCCTCCTTCTCTACCATCAGCTGGATTTTTCACCAGAGAAGCCTCCTGGGAGCCCCGAGAGGAGCAGGACCCTTTGGAGGAGCGTAGGGCCCTGCCCTCCTGGGCCTCCCGACCCCCACCACAGGCCCCTACGCTCAGGGTCCGCCTGTGAGTCACACTGCTACCAGCATCTGCTGCACACGTCCCAGAAGACTAGGGTGTGAGGGCCACAGCCCAGCCTTTGTCAGCGCAGCCTCTCACGTGGGGCTGTGCCAGGAGGGGCTGGCTGGCATTCTGTCTGCAGCTGGCAAGCCCCCGGGCCAACATGGAGCTACAGCTGGCATGAATGCCGCATCCTGTACTGGCAGAGATGCAGGCCCTGGGGAGGCAGCTACCCCTGGGACCCTTGGGAGGGAGGGTTTCTCAGCAGGGCCAAGGCCCCCAGTGGAGCAGTGAGGCGTGATTTCTGTTTCCCGAACTGTCCGGTCATGTTTTATAAGTAGAAAAGTTATTTTAAAAAACATTTTTTTTTAAATAAGCATTCTGAAAGTGACTCCAGTGAGCTGGGTGTGGTCATATGTGAAGACATGTCATCTCCTATGATCTAATGTCATTCTGTTTTTGGTATTTTTTTAAGATTTATTTATTTGGGGGGCCCAGTGAGGTAGTTAATTTGCTAATCCTCTCCCTGCAAGCACCAAGATCCCAAATGGGTACTGGTTCTTTTTAAAAAATATTTCTTTATTTTTATTGCAAAGTCAGATATATGGAGAGAGGAGGAGAGACAGAGAGGAAGATCCTCCGTCCGATGAGTCACTCCCCAAGTGACCGCAATGGCCAGAGCTCTGCCAATCTGAAGCCAGGAGCTCTTCCGGGTCTCCCACACGGGTGCAGGGTCCCAAGGCTTTGGGCAGTTTTCTACTGCTTTCCCAGGCCACAGGAGGGGAGCTGGATGGGAAGCAGGGCTGCTGGGATTAGAACCGGCGCCCATATGGGATCCTGGTTGATTCAAGGCAAGGCTACTGCACTGGACCCCAAAGGCATCCTTTAACCCAGCAGTTCATTCCTCAAGTGGTTGCAATGGCTTGGGCAAGATCAGGTCAAAGTCAGGAGCCTGGACCTCCTTCTCGGTCTCCCACGTGGGTCAGCAACCCAAATACTTGGGGCATCTTCTGCTGCTTTCCCAGGTGCCTTAGCATAGGGCACTGGGTCAGAAGTGGAGCAGCCAGGACTGGAACCTGTGCTCTTAAGTGGATGCCAACATTGAAAGCTGAAAATTAGTATTCAACACCACTGTGTTGGCCCTCCATCTGTTATTGCAGCCCACTTTGGGAGTTTGGGTGTGCCCTACACTGGCCCTATAGCTCCTTCTGAGCTTGGGGTCTCCTTATCCTTGCCCTGTCGTCTTCCCCAGATCCCGTCAGTTGGGCTGCAGAGTCAGTGAAGGGCAGGTATATGGTTCATGCTGGCGCCTAGCTGAGATTCCACCAGTGGGACTGTGCTTCCCAAGCTCTGTTTCCTTAATTCACCAGCTGAATGTGGCATGTGGCTCTCGCTTCCTCGTTTCTCTGACTGGTGTGATCACTGACTGTCCCACTTCCTGCTCTTGCACGCTTCCCTGTCCTCTTGGTGGGGTGGCAGGCAGCGAGTCTCTGTGTGTGCAGCGACAGTGAGTGAGGTCCCTGAGGCTGCTTGGACTCACCCCTGTGGGGAGGTCTGGGGCCGATGAAGACGAAGGCCTTTGTGCACAGTAGAAGCAGGTGCCTGTCACCACTGCCCTGCTGTCCTAAGCGGGGAGCCAGCTGTGAGGTGGCCACAGCAGTCGGAGGAGTGTGAAGACCGCAGGCTGCTCTCGCTGTTGCCTACTGGCCTGCAGCTGCCATTCTGGCCCTCGCTGCCCTGAGGGACAGTCCCCGGGCCTAGGGGGTGCTGGATGAATCCAGGCCGGGTCCTCTTTCCGTTGGTGAGCTATCCTGCCAGGCTGATCCTTTGGCATGGTGGCATCTGTCCTGACCAGGCATCCGGCAGGTGTGCAGTCAGAGAGCCGGGCTTGTGAGTGGAGCAGGCACTGGTGTTGCTACTCCTGCTGTCTCAGAGGAGGCCAGCTGCTCCCCTCCCCGGGACCTGCCTGGCAGGGTCCCTTTGTTCCTGGCTTTGGACAGCACCAGCCTCGGGTGCTTTTTCTCTCTGGTCCTCAGGATGCATGCTAGTATCAAGTCATTCATTCTCTGCGACTCCATTTCTCTCTCAACTGTAGTTTTTTTTTTTTTCTTAAGATTTATTTTTATTGGGTAAGTCATATACAGAGAGGAGGAAAGACAGAGAGGATTTTCCATGTGCTGATTCACTTCCCAAGTGGCCGCAGTGGCCAGAACTGCACCATTCCAAAGCCAGAAACCAGGAACCTCGTCTGGATTTTCCATGCAGGTGCAGGGTCCCAAGGCCTTGGGACATCCTTGACTGCTTTCCCAGGCCACAAACAGGGAGCTGGATGGAAGTGCAGCCACTAGGATTAGAACCACCGCCTATATGGGATCCCAGTGTGTGCAAGGCAAAGACTGTAGCTACTAGGCTACTGTGCTGGGCCCTACTGTAGTCTTAAAAAAAATTATTTATTTGTGGCAGACATCTTTTCATCCACTGGCTCACTGTCCCTCACGCCCATTATGACCTCAGTGGTTGAGGCTGGCCAGGCCACAAGCCTGGAGTCTAGAACTCTGTGTCTCCCATGTGGATGGCAGGAGCCCAAGCACTTGGGCAGCACCCCCTGCATTCCCAGGCATAGGAGCAGGGAGCTAGATCAGAAGAGATAAAGTTGGGATTCCAACAGCCGCTCCCATGCGGGATGCTGGTGGCCGAGGCAGTGCCTTAACTGCCCCTCCAGCCCTGCTCCCCAGTACATGCCCCAGATGGACAGTTATCAGGTGATGTGGCAACCTTCCCTGAGACTCCACTTGTATTATCTGTCCGGAGATGCGGTCAGTAGGCATTGTGTCTGCTGGTTTCTCTGCTCCCATCCCATGCTTGGTGTCTAATAACTGGTTCACCGCGGCTCTTGTTTATACCTAGACAGGCACCAGTTCATACTGGTCAGGAGCCTGCTGAGTGGACATACATGGACTGGGCAATGAGGGGGGAGGTTGGCAGGCAGCAGCTCCTAGGTGCTCGCGGTCCTAGGCAGAGAGCTACTGCGTGTCCAGGATTGCAGATGTATAACTGCAAAGCAGAAGTAGGGGCAGCTGGTGACAGAGCTGCTGCAGCCGCCTTGAGGAAGTGAAGTCATGCTTTAACCCCTCTCCTGGGATCCAGACACGCACCCCTTCCTCACGTGCTGTGTGGCCCACCCGTCTGGCCATGTTCTCAAATTGTCCCATGGCTGCCCCAGTTTCCTTGTTGTGTCTTGAAGTAGTGAGTTCTTTCCTGCCATAGGCTTCTCACACCCCTCTTCTCGGCCTGTGACCATCTCTCCCTGAGTCTCTCTGGGTAGCTGTTCTTGCCTCTTGCTGAGATGTCCCTTCTGGAGAGGTGGCCTTCAACACAGCACCACTCTTATCACAGTCACTTCCCTAATACCTAGTCCCTAGTCTGCGCTCATAAATGTTGACTGGATGGCTCTCCTAGGTTTCTCATTTCTGTTGTAACAAATCACTGGTTACAACAATCCCCCATTATTGTCTTCTGGTTTCTGAGAATTCAGATTCTCCCTGCTGAGGGGCGGATGAAGATCAGGAGTGATGAGATGCAGATTGGGGTTCCTGTATCCCTCTGCTGTCTAGCTTTTCTGCTGACGAACACCCTGGGAGGCACCAGCTGATGGCTCAAGTGGTTGGGTCCTTGTTGACAGCTGTGGCAGGCATCTGGGAGTGAACCAGCAGATGGGTGCTCTATCTGTGTGTCATTCTGCTTCTCAAATGCCTAAGATGAAAAGGAGAAGATGAGAGCTGAAAATCAAGTTGCAGGCAGGGATGTATTGCTCATGGTGGGGCCAGGGGAGATGTCTGCCCCTGCCCATCCCAGCGTTTGGAGGCTGCCTGGATGCCTTGACTCCTGGCCCCTTCATCCTTCTTCAGACCTTATCACTTTCCCTCTGATGGTGATGTGGGACCGCTCTCGTTATTCCAGATTCCTGCCCTGGCTCGAGCCCCTTCACTAAGTCACACCAGTCAAATCCACCTTGCCACAGAAGCTGACACAGCCTCAGGGTATCTGTAAGGATCTCTTGCCTGGCCAGCACACCCTTGACCGCACCTGCCTTCCTTCCACAGGATGAGATCGAGGAGCTGCGGGCCGAGATGCTGGAGATGCGTGACGTCTACATGGAGGAGGATGTGTATCAGCTGCAGGAGCTGCGGCAGCAGCTGGACCAGGCCAGCAAGACCTGTCGCATCCTGCAGTACCGGCTGCGCAAGGCTGAGCGCCGCAGCCTCCGTGCTGCCCAGACGGGCCAGGTGGATGGCGAGCTCATCCGTGGCCTGGAGCAGGATGTCAAGGTCAGCCTTTACAGATGTCATTGTTGGGGGGCGGGAGGGCAGTGCTGGAACTACCCACCTGAATAGGGCCCAGGTCAGCTCGTGGCTCACTCCTGGGTGTTCTTGGGCGAAAGTAATACCACATCTCTGGGAATCAATTTGTATAGCTGCAGAGTGGGGATCTCCCTGGCAAACCTATAGGCCTTCCACCAGGGATGCCCTAAAGTGATGCCCCGACATGACTCCTGCTCACTGCATCTTCCGCATCAATCACACACCTAGTGCTGGGCTCTGAGCTGTCCCCACATGGCCTCAGGGAGGTGGCTTTGTCACACTTGGGGAGCAAGGAAGGCCTGGAGTTCAGTGACTTTGAGTGTCATTGATTTCAGTGTTCTCTGTAAAATGGACTCACAGGGTTCTGTGAGGATAAGCGAGAGAATGTGGACAAAATGCAACTGTAAAGCACACAGACGTTTGCTACGGGATGAGTCAGAAAGTTAATGGAAAAAATGAAAGTAAAAGACACATTTCATGCAGAAACTGTGCATGTTTCAGAACTATCAGAAGCACTCAAGTAACACCCTTGGAACACTCCCACACTGGGGTCTCTAAGGCATCATCAAATGACTCCCCACCGTCACTCCCTGCAATCCCCAAATGCTGATGTAGTTTGACAGCAACGAGCAGTTCTCCTGCCCCTTCCCTAGAAGATGAGGAAAATGACTGGGAAAAAAATTAAATTCTGCATGGATTTCAATTTTTTTTTTTTCTGCACTCAATTAAGTGTATCCTCTAGTTAGAGTTTCTCCCACACTGTGTGTTGTGGATTGCGGATTTCAGTTCCTGGATAAGGATCCTGAGGCTTAGAGAAAGGACAGCTCAGAATGGCACACCATGCTGTTATCAGGCCTTCATGGGTTCTCTGCTTGGTTGGGGAGAGGGAGGAACACAGCAGGAGTCAGGCTACTGGGGCCCTCCAGGAGCCCCCTCTGCTGGTGGGTAAGCCCTGGTCTGTGGCCTGGCAGCCTGGTCCGTACTGGCATAACTCAGTGCTGTGTAAGGGGTGGGTGAGGTAGGAGTCGGGGATGGGGATCCCTGGAATAGGTCAGGTTCTCAGTGTTCCTGCACGGGTGACTTTAGAGCTTAGGCTTGATGGGGCTGTGGATCCGAGCCAGCAGTGGGAGCTGGAGATGGCTCTGTGGGGCCCCAGGGGAACTGCGAGTGAGCCAACCCTTTCCTCCCTCCATGGCCTGGAGAAAGATGGCTGAGAGATGCTGGGTGGGCCAAGCCCCATAGCTCTTCCAGTGAAACCACGGAGAAAACAAAGATTCCTGGAGGGTGCTGTGGTTTCAGCACTTACAGCTGCTTGGGCTGGAACAGTGGGAGCCTAGGTGTGGGGCCGATAGGAGGAAGCTCACCTCAGAAAGGGTTAGTGGGAGCCTTTGCCTGCAGCAGCGCCCTGCTACACAGCTGCACAAATATTCAAATTTTCCCCACTGGGGGGCGGGGCGGGCGAGCCAGCACTCCGCCAAACTGCACCCTGCTGGAATCGGCAAGCCCAGGTCCTTGGACTTCAAGGAAAGGGACACACAAAAACCTCAGAATTGAGGGGAAAGAGATGGATGGGAGTGGGGCAGGCTGGGGCCTGGCGGGGTGCCGGGTCTGGGTGGGTGGGGCAGAGAGCAGCTGGTGTGCTTGGGAAGGGGGCTGAGTCTGCAAGGGGAGGAGCCCCTTCTGTTGTAGGGATTTGAACCAGCCAATCGGTGTCACCCATGTTCTCTTCCCTCTCTACAGCCCTCCACTTCTCTCCCTCACCCCAGGCTGAGGCAATCTCTTTTCTGGGCTGCCTTCCATACTGCCCAGTTCTCCCTAAGAGCTGACGTTGCTGACTTGACCATGGTCCTGGCCTCTTCTACCCCCGTCTGTTGGGGCCTCAGTACAGATCCACTGAATCTCCCGGACTAGTGAGCTGCCATGGTTTTGTTGGGTTATTGGGGAGGAGGTGCTGAATGAGACCTTAGGCTGCCCCTCCCCCATCCTCCCACTTTCTGCTTCTCTCAGGACCTGCCCCTGCCACTTGCTTGCTGTGTAGCCAGAATGGTGTCGGGTGACAGAGACAGGGGTGTTGCTGGTAAAAGCATCTGGTTGAGGATTTGTCCAGGTGACCAATGCAGGTTGCTTGCTCATCTGTAACATGGGAACCTTCACCTCCCAGTCTCCTGGAGCTGAGGGTCAGGGGGAGGATGGTGATGCTTCTTTGTGGGAATTCTCAACACTACCCTAAGGCTTAGTGACATGGGGTCCCTATACCCTGCCAGGGGCTAGGTGCCCTGATCTGTCAGTGGTGACCTCACAGCTGAGCACATCTGTGTGTTCTCACATTGGCTTTGGGGATTTGCCTTGGTATCCGGGAGCCATAGCTGCTTTGCCCACCACCCCACTGGGTGTCCCGCTAGGTGTCCCAACCCTAGTGCTATGGGGTGATGGCCAATGCCCAGGGGCCTCCTGACATGTGTACTATGGATGCTGACGCTGGGTGTCTTTAAGCCATGGGGTTGTACAGCAGGTTAAGGTGGAGAACAAGGCTGAGGGCTTTCATCTTGATTCTGTAACTTCCTGGTTGTGTGACCTTGGGCAGGTGACTTTTCTTTCTGAGCCTAAGAGTGTTGAATGTATAAATAAAAAAGTGTTCATCCATGCTAGAGCTTCCTGAGTGAGTGCTAAATTAGGTACCTCAGTTTGGGGACTGGGCATCACAAAACTCCTGGGGTGTGCCAACATGGATGCCCAGGGGGCATGCTGTGTGGTTGCCCTCAGACCCAGTCTCGTGCTGTTGTTTTTACATCATATGCTCCCAGAGCCCTGGGTAAGCCACACGGAGATGAGGGGCTGGGTGTAGCCAGTTGAGAAGGAATTGGCTGCAGCCGCCCGTATTTTAGCTAACCCCACGAATGGTCAGGGCCAGAACATGGCCCGGTCGGAATGCTGGGACAGCTGCAGCCAGCCTCAGACCTTGTGTGTCCTGCAGAGCCCTTTTATGATGAAGGGGGGCTGCTCACCCAACTCAGGGCGTGAAAGTGTGGTGGTCCAGACAGGGATAGGGGCCAGCTTCTAGCTGTCACTGGTGACCTTCAGGGACATAGAGAGATGGTGGGCAGGGCAGCAGGAAATGCTGCCCAGTTTCTTCTCTGGCCACCGTTTTCTTCCAGCCTAGCTTACACATTGCTAAGGGCTCTGCATGCAGCTAGGTGGGGGCCCAGGCAGAAAGGACAGGGCCAGGCAAGGCCTTCTGCCCTGTCAGGAGGGAAGGGGCCACAGTTATCACCAACAGTGGCAGCATGGGTGCTGAGCCTTCTGCCCACAGCCAGGTCCTGCAAGCCTGGGAAGAGACGAGGCCACCCCAGGGAGCCAGCTCAGCCTGCACATGTTACCCAAAGCTTTCTTGTCCTCATCAGGACTGGGTGAGGCGTGCTAGCCTCTGCCCTCAACCTGCAGGGGCCAGAACAAGGGGTGTCCTGCAAGCCGTGGAGCTCCCGGGTGTGGAGGCTGCAGCTGGGAGCACCTTTGTCAGGATGGCTGGAACACCTATCCAACCTCTGTCGTTTCAAGCATGTTCTGTATCCCAGACCATTGGAAACAGGCCTCAGGGTCATCTTGTGACCTTCAGCCGTCATGTCCCACTGCCAGCTTCAGGCTCCTGGAACAACAGCCAGTATTCCACCAGTACTTGCTGTGACAGGCCTCAGGCCAAGCTGTGGCTGATTCAATCCACCTGCGGGTCTGGGAGGTGGAACCTATTGTTATATACCCATCTTATAGTTGAGAGATTGAGGCCCAATGCAGGGTCATGACTTGCTGAGGTCATGTGCTCGTCCGTGGCAGAAGGGGCTCACTAGCTCCAGGGTCTTCCACCCTGTTCTGGTTCCCACTTCTGTTTCCAGGAAGAAGGCTGCTGCCAAAGGAGCGTGGAGCAGTGTCACCCCTGATGGGGCTCATAGATTTTGGTGTTATCCCTTCAGGAGCATGAATGCCTGATATATTGCTTTGGTTCATGGATATGTGCCTATGTGACCCTTGATAAATTTTGTGAGCTTTTGGGGGCCTCAGTTTTCCCCAAGTGCTGAATAGGAGTGAGATTGAGACCCTGACTGTCCCCAGGGTGCACCATGACTGAAGTTGGACCTCAGTGGGCATCCCAGCCTGGGATGGCCTTCCAGGCTGGTTGTGCCCAGCCTCTTACACCCTGCCCACCCCATGCTGCTCACCCAGGTCTCCAAGGACATCTCCATGCGGCTGCACAAGGAGCTTGAGGTGGTGGAGAAAAAGCGGGCACGGCTGGAGGAGGAGAACGAGGAGCTCCGGCAGCGGCTCATCGAGACTGAGCTGGCTAAGCAGGTGCTGCAGACGGAGCTGGAGCGGCCCAAAGAGGTGAGGGCCTGGACTGCAGGTGGGACACGCACAAGACTTGTCGATTGATTCATCTGCCCAACATGCAGGTCCCGAGCGCCTCCTGTGTGAACCATGGGCTGGACCACAAGGGTCCAGTGGTGCCCAAGGGACAGCTGGTTTGTTAGAAGACCATGCCCATGTGTGGCTATGCCCATGGGGTAGTGTACCCTGCCTCATTTCCTCTCCACAAAGGCAGCAGTGGTGCCCCATGTTGCCGCAGGTGGGATGGTTTTGGGTGGAGATGCCTGCAGCTTGCAGTTGGGGCTGTGTGTGGCAGGGGTGGGGGGGTGGGGCAGTGCAAGAATCACTCCAGGCAAGTCTAGGATATGTTGAAGAGTCCTTATTAACCAAGCTTAGTGACAGCAGTGCCCATTAGAAATTAGCAAATGACAAGTCCACGTAGCAGTCCAGTCAGAATCGAAACCCTGAAAGGAACAAATGATCGTTAGCATGGAACCCATCCATTAAACTGAAGTCCTATGTCCCAGCTTCCCCAACAATATAATTACCCTAAGAGGCATGCAGCAAACTACCTGGACACACTTACAAAGCTGCAAACATTCACCCTTTCCTGGCTTCTCTGTCCATATCCCATCGCTGCTAGGCCTCACCTCTTCTAGAAATGCAAAGCATCTTAGCATTAACATCTTCATTGAATCACCCAAGCAGTCAACGGAGAGTGAGGAATACAGACACACAGGGGCTGCCTGTCCTCGGGGTCTGTCCACAGGAAGCCAGACAGCAAGTGGGTACTGGGGAGGCCAAGAGTCGAGTGCAAGAGTGATGGAAGCACATGACTGAGAGTGAGCCCCTCCCTATCATGGACCTTTTTGGGAACCTGTGAGGGGAGTGGTTACGCAACAGTGCAAGACTGCCCCCTCTCAGGTTCCAGGTGATGATAGGTGGGGGAGGTGTGGCTTTCAAGCTTGTGACCCTGAACTAGCTGCTTAAGACCACAACAGGGCCAGTGTAGGATCCTAGATACCTCCTGCATGTGGCCTACGGTGTCCTCTAGATTTTGACTCCCTGCTGCCTGGCTCTCCTGTCCTCCTTCCTGTGTCTCAGGCACTACGGTAGGTACTTTAGCTCTGGTGTTTCCGTAAGGGCCCCATGAGGTTACCATCCACTTGCTGATGGGATGCACAGCGTCTAGAAGAGAGGTGCATCCCTCCCAGTCTTGCTCTGCAGAATGTGGCTTGGAAACCACCAGCCTCAGGGGGCACTTAGCAGCTGGAATTCTCCCCATTCCTGAGGTGCAGGTTCCGGAAGACCAGCCTGTGGCTGCCGAGGAGCCACAGCTGAACCTCTCTGGCTGGCTGTGCATGGTCCTGGGACGTGCATCTCTGGGGAGGCCCCATACTTGAGGCAGGGTTGGGGGAGGAGAGGCTGCCAAGGTTACAGCTCCAACGCCAGAGCAGTCCTTCAGCCATCCTGGGCGCTGGCCATTCTGCTGTGCCACAGAAGGCTGCTACAAGGGGCTGGCTGGTTGTAGGGCCAGGAGAGGCCCTCCCTGCATGCAACCTCTTCCCCTGGGGACTGGCCCAAGGTGCTAGGCCCGGCAGAACAACTTCCCTGGGCTCCCCCAACAACCCCAGCCCGCAGTCCTGAGGGCACATCCCCTCAATCCCAACCAGCAGCCATTGTAATAAACTGTAATAAACTGTTGAATGACCTCGGGGCACCATGAGGACATGACAGGGAGAGAGCTAGCTTGGCACTTCCTCCCTCCCCCACATTCAGTGTGTGAGCCTGTAACCCCAGCTGAGCGGAAACCAGAGACTTGGGTTGTTTGCACTTCCAGGGCTGTGGCAATGTTATTCCCTGGAGCAGGGGTGGGGAGCGTCCGGCCTGTGGAATGCCTGCAGAATCATTTAGTCTGGTCCTGTCAGGAAAACAGCAGGTGGACTCAAAAATTCAGTACCTCTGTGGTAGGCTAATTAAAAAAAAAAATTTGTTTTTTTAAGGCAGAGAGAGAGAATATGTAAATGGTCCATAGGGGTCCTAGTGCTTACACCATCTTCTGCTGTTTCCCAAGCACATTAGCAGAGAACTGGATTGGAAGTGGGCAGCCTGGACTTGAACTGGTGCCCATGTCGGATGTCAGTGTCACAAATAGTGGCTTTAGCTGCTGCCGCATGACATTATTGCAGGCTGATATATATATTTTTTTTAATTTTTTTTTTTTTTATTGGAAAGGCAGATATACAGAGAGGAGAGACAGAGAGGAAGATCTTCCGTCCGATGATTCACTCCCCAAGTGAGCTCAACGGTCAATGCTATGCCGATCCGAAGCCAGGAGCCTCTTCCGGGTCTCCCCCGCGGGTGCAGGGTCCCAAAGCTCTGGGCCATCCTTGACTGCTTTCCCAGGCCACAGGCAGGGAGCTGGATGGGAAGCGGGGCCGCTGGGATTAGAACCGGTGCCCATATGGCATCCCAGGTGTGCAAGGTGAGGACCTTATCCACTGCGCCATCGCGCCGGGCCTGATATATATTTTTTTAAGATGTATTTATTTTTATTGGAAAGGCAACAGAAAAAAAAAAGAAAGAAAGAAATAGGGAAAGTCAGATCTACAGAAAGAAGGAGACAGAAAGATCTTCCATCTGTTGGTTCACTGCCCAAGTGGCTGCAACAGTCAGAGCTGAGCCGATTTGAAGACAGGAGCCTCCTCTGAGTCTTCCACACAGGTGCAGGATCCCAAGGCTTTGGGCCATCATCAGCTGCTTTCCCAGGCCACTGTCAGGGAGCTGCATGGGAAGTGAATCAGCAGTGGGAGAAATATGTAGATGGGAAGATAGGTAGGGTGTGTGCGTGTGTGTGTGTGTGTGTGTGTGTGTGTGTGTGTGTGTGTGTGCCTTTCAAATAAATAAAAATAAATCAGTGTGTAAGTACAATGAGATGTGACGAGTCTTTTGTGGTGCCAGGCATGGTGTGGATGCTCAGAAGGTACTGAGGCCCTCCCCCTGGCGAGAGGGCTCATTCGGCCTCTTCTATCTCAGGGTCATGGACAGGAGAGCCAGGCCTCTGTGTGTTTGCTATCTGTCCTTTCCCTCCCTCCACTCCTTCCTGATAGGGTTTCTATGGAGACGAGAGTCCCTTAGTGAATCTGCTGCCAGGGCTACAACCCCTGAGAGGTCTGCTTCTGCCATCACAACATGGCACCTGGCTAGAGCTGTTGCGTTGCCAGGGAGACGGCTCGGCAGGACACAGTGAGCAGCTGGTCTCAGTGTGGACTCAGGACACCAGCGGCCCCTCCCGCTCCATGTGTTTTGCTGAAAGTCTGGGGCAGTGCTGATGTGACTTTCCGTGTGGGGGACCCAGAGGAGATTCCTGGCTCCTGGTTTTAGATCAGCTTAGCTCCAGCAGGGAGCTGGAGGGGAAGTGGAGCAGCCAGGATACGAACTGGGGCCATATGGGATCCTGGTGGATGCTAGGTGAGGATTTAGCGATTTAGCCGCTAGGCTATCACTTAGGACTCAGTGCAATATTTTAATACATACATGTGGTAAGGATCACAGGAATGGCAATTAGCCTAACATGGCAAACACTCATCATCCCTCTGGTGCCCACACTCTGTGTCCTCTCTTCTAGCTCCTTGGAAATACACAGCACATTGCTGTGAACTGCAGTCACCCTCCTGTTTGGTGGAGTGCTAACATGAGTTCCTCTTGATTGCCACGTTATACCCATTCTCTCATTTTTTTAAAATCACAGTTTGATTAACACACCATGCATGTCGCCATTCTAAAGTGTACATTTCAGTGATTTTTTTTTTTCAAAACATTCTGATGTAGTGCAGCTGTGCTGAATTCCAGAACATTTCCTCACCCCCTGTGCTCTCTAGCCCCTGGTGGCCATGAGTCTATTTGTTGCTGGAGTGGCTCTGCTGGGCTCTGGGCTCTTCATTGCCACTGAGTCATGTGGCACAGACTGTTTGGTGACAGGAGCACTCAGCATGGGTTTGCAGAGCTCAGCATTCACACTGGGGCTGTGTCACAACTTCATTGCTTTTTCTGGCTGGGCAATGATCCATGGTGTGGGTAGACCTTGTTATCTTTGCTCACACTTGGGTCATGCACTCCATCACTGCTGTGGTTCACGGCCAATGTGGGCACTGTGTGAGTGTGGGACACTGCATTTTCAGGGCTTTTGGTATAACCCCTCCCACCCAGTTGAGTTGCTGTCAACAGATGGGCCTGGAAAGACAGAGGGGGTTCAAGCCCAGTACTCTCCACCTCCTGACCCACAGGGCCCCGGCCCTCCTGGCTGCATTCAGGGTATTCCTAGGCTCCTGTTGTGTCCTCTGAACCTGTGAGGGGCTGCTCATCTGGATGAGCCCCTTCCTCTCTCAGTAGATTTCCCACCTCATAGTTGGGGAGGATGCTGAACCTGATACCAGATCTCATGTGTTCAAATCCCAGTCCCGCTGTCATCCACGCTGTCCAGCCCTTGTCCATGTGGTACAGGGCAAGCCCAAACTTGGAACCGCATGGGGCTAGGTGGTTAATTGGCTGGCCAGCTGGCAGACAAATAAATGGACATAGAGAGATTTTCCATGTAGTGATTCATTCTTCAACTACCCAGAATAGCTGTGGCTGGGTCAGGTGGAAGCCAGGAGTCTAGAACTCACTCCTGCATGTGTAGCAGAGACCCAAGTATTTGAGCCAACACCTGTTGCCTCCCAGGATGCACCTGAACAGGAAGTGGATCAGAAGCGAAGCCAGGACTGGAGCTAGACTCCCTGACATGGGAAGCAGGCATCCACCTGTACTCAGGGCCCATCCCAGGCCTGGGTATGATGCCCTCCATCTCTTACTTGCAGATGACCACAACCATGGGCAAATCATGCTGATGTTCAGGTTGTTTATGTATAAACGGGAAAAGTAATCCCTGGTTTCCAGGGCTGTTTGAGAAGGGGGCTTGTCCTTGTACTATCCCAGGCCTCACCAGCTGTGGGCCTCTAGGAACGTTGCCTTAGTTACCATGTTTCTGCTGCCCCCTGGAGAAGCCCTCTATTGAAGAATAGCTCTGTCGTGAGTCACTGGCTACAGTTGGCCATTTGATTGGGAGGTTGGGACTAAGCTGCTCTTTGTTCCTTCCTTCCAAAGAGTCTCCCCCACCAGACATTCTGCAGGAAGGATACCTCACGTCTTGGAGGTGCACCCTCTACCTGGCACCAGATTGGCACAGCACCGGCCATTGTGCTCACTTGGGGAGTAGATCATTGGATGGAAGATCCTCTTCCCCGTCTCTCCTCCTGTCTGTACATCTGCCTTTCCAATAAAATAAATAAATCTTGAAAAAAAAAAAAAAGAAAGGGTATCTGAGTGAAGTTTACTCTTGTGTTTCTCTGTCATGGGAGGAGCATCTTCCTGTGTTTAAGGTCCCTTTGTTCTCCTGGTGGCTGTATTTTTGTTTCTAGGCAATGCTCTTCTGGGTTGGTTGGCCCTTTTTTTTTTTTTTTAATTCTTTAAACACTCTTCCTGTATTTAGGATCTCAACCCCTTGTTAGTGAAACTGAAGCTTTTCTATTTAGTCATTTACTTACAAATTTTTTTACATAGGGCTTTTTTTTTTCATGTAGAATTTGTGTAGTCAGCTGTATTTTTTTTCCCCAGTAGACTGAGGATTTTCTTTACCTGACATTTAAAAACTACATATTTCTGGGGTCCCCCATGATGTTTTGCTACATGTATGCAGTGGGTGATGTTCAAACCAGGGTAAACCACTGACTTGGATTTTTTAAACTTTTTTTTCCCCTTTAAACTTATTTGAAAGGCAGAGAAAGAGAACAGGAGAAATGGACAGAATGTCCATCTGCTGGTTTACTCCTCAAATGGTCCCAGTGGCTGGACCTGGGCTAGATCTTGAAGCAGAGGCCAGGGACTCAGTTCAGGTCTCCAGTAGTGGGTAGCAGGGACTTCATGACTTGCGCCAACAACACCACTGCCTTCAGGGGCTGCCTATGCAAGAAGCTGGAATCAGGAGCTGGGGCAGATGTCAAACCCAGGTGGTTTGATGTTACATCCAGGTGTTCTCGCTACTAGACCACTGGATTTTTTTTTCATGTTTACTGATTGTCATTTTTCATTCTACTTAAAAGGTAGAACTGGAGACAGCAGAGATAGACAATGAGGTCTTTCCTGCACTGTTAGTCCCCAAATTTCCGTACCTGCTGGGGCTGGGCTAAGCCAGGAGCCCTATCTGGGTCTCCCACGTGGGTGACAGGGAATCAAGTACTTGCACTATCACCTGCTGCCTTGCAGGATGTGGATTGGAAGCAGAGAAACCAGGACTCCCAAATGCCACTCTGACCTGGGCAGCTTACCCTTCTGTACCCCAGTGCCCACCTGCTTCTGGATGTTTGAATGATCAGTCTAGTCTCTCTCGTGACCATCCTGAAGCCTTCTGTGTAATTAAAGTCAATTGTGCCCGAATTTGTCTGATCTATTAGCATGCATTCATTCTGAATTAAACTTCCCAGTTGTGTCTTGGTTCCCTGTGGTTGGGATTTGCATGCAGAAGTTGGTGGAAGAGTCCCCCGGGAACAGCCTAGTGGCACCTGTGGCTGATGCCATGGAACATTCTGGAGTGGGTTCCTTGGAATTTGGTAAGGGGACCAATCCTGGGATGTGGGTTCCATCTCAGGAGGGAGCAAGGTGACCTTGGGCAAGGTGGTTCCCCTCAGCCAGTGGCCCATGAATCGGTCAGTGGGAGTGGTAATGAGTGTCTCAGTCTGGCAAAATATACAATACCCAATCCGGGTTCCTCTTCTGTCTTGTTCACTGCCATGTTCTCCAAACCTTGAGTATGCCAGGCACATGATAAATGCTCAAGAAACCTCTGTTGAATGATGGGCAGAAGCCCAGATGTCCAGGGGTTGGCCCAGGCACACTGGGTCACCATGAGGGGAGAGAGGAGTTGGGAGCAGGGGTGCTCATTGCCTGTGCCCCATCGGCAGTGTCCTGGGTCGGGGAGGGTCTGGAGGCTCCAGTGGCTCAGCAGAGGGCTCCCGGTCATTGCATAGCCTGGGCTGGGCTGGGCTGGGCTGGGCTGGGCTGAGGGTAGGACTTTCAGGGCACCCAGATATGAAAACTGTCACCTTGTGAACTTTTCCGCTTTCTGGGTTTTTTTCCCCTCCCTCCCTCCAGCATTCCTTGAAGAAAAGAGGAACCCGCTCACTGGGGAAGACGGACAAGAAGCCTTCAGTGCAGGTACAACAAGGCAGCACGCCCCCATCTCCAGGAGGCTGGGGACCCTCCCACACATCCCATCCTTACCTTCCACCCCGTCTTCCCCTCCTTCATGTGCTTGTCCTCACTGCACACTCTGATTCCCCAAGCCTCACTCCAGCACACAGTTTTTCTCTGGCAGCTGCAGGCTGACTTCCCAGGATAGCACAGGTGGGACCACCTCCAGAGGCCTGGGTTAGGGCTTGTTAGCTCTGCCTCTTGCTTGCCATGTAGTCAGAGCAAGTTCCTTCAGCTTTCCTGGCCTGGGTTTCCTTTGCCTCCACCTGCAGTCTATATGCTGCCCAGGCCAGATCCAGAGTCCTTCATCCTCCAAGCTCTTGGCATGTAGCATTTCATTTAATCCTCTGCATGGCTCTGTGTGGGAACCATCATTTTATGGATGGAGGAACCATAGTCTATAGTAGTAGCAGCAGCAGTTGCCTGGGCAGGGTGTGAATTGTCCCCTACTCCACTCCCCAGGGGCTACATGTGGGCTCCATACTTACTGCCCCAGTTCTTTGCGGGGTGGGGAGATGCACTGACGTTTTGTGGGTGGTGTCTTGGGGCCCCAGGAGGACAGCGCCGACCTCAAGTGCCAGCTGCACTTCGCCAAGGAGGAGTCTGCCCTCATGTGCAAGAAACTAACGAAGCTGGCCAAGGAGAACGACGGCATGAAGGAGGAACTGCTCAAGTACCGCTCGCTCTACGGGGACCTGGACGCGGCGCTGTCCGCGGAGGAGCTGGCCGACGCACCGCATTCGCGCGAGACCGAGCTCAAGGTGCACCTGAAGCTGGTGGAGGAGGAGGCCAACTTGCTGAGCCGCCGCATAGTGGAGCTGGAGGTGGAGAACCGCGGCCTGCGCGCCGAGATGGACGACATGAAGGACCACGGTGGGGGCTGCTCGGGGCCCGAGGCCAGGCTCGCCTTCTCGGCTCTGGGAGGTGGCGGCGAGTGCGGAGAGAGCCTGGCCGAGCTGCGGAGACACCTGCAGTTTGTGGAGGAGGAGGCGGAGCTGCTGCGACGCTCCTCTGCTGAGCTGGAGGACCAGAACAAACTGCTGCTGGGCGAGCTGGCCAAGTACCGCGCAGAGCACGAACTGGACGTGACTATGTCGGAGGATAGCTGCTCCGTGCTCAGCGAGCCCTCGCAGGAAGAGCTGGCGGCCGCCAAGCTGCAGATTGGCGAGCTCAGTGGCAAGGTGAAGAAGCTGCAATATGAGAACCGCGTGCTGCTCTCCAACCTGCAGCGCTGTGACCTGGCCTCATGCCAGAGCACACGGCCCATGCTGGAGACGGACGCCGAGGCCGGGGACTCGGCCCAGTGTGTGCCCACACCTCCCGGCGAGGTCCCCGAGTCGCATGCCGGCCGACTCTGCAGAGCGCGGGAGGCCGACGTGCTGCCCGGGCTGCGGGAACAGGCTGCCCTGCTCAGCAAGGCTATCGACGTGCTGGCAGCAGACGCCAACGGCTTCTCGGCAGGCCTGCGGCTGTGTCTGGACAATGAGTGTGCCGACCTGCGGCCGCATGAAGCCCCGGACAACAGTGAGGGTCCCCGCGACGCCAAGCTCCTGCACGCTGTCCTGGTGCGACTGGGCGTGCTGCAGCAGGAGCTCAACGCCTTCACACGAAAGGCGGATGCAGGCCTGGTTGGCTGCGGCAAGGAACAGCCCGAACCCTTCCCAGGGTCGCCTGCCCTCGGCTCCCAGGGACCCTCCAAGGAGCTTCTTATAACCAAAGACCTCGGCTCCGACTTCCAGGTGAGCCAGGTCGACTGCTTTTGCTGTTGACCTTGTAACTGATTTTTATCTGGCGATGTAAAAAGGGGACCTGCTTTATTTTTCTGGGAGCTCAAGGGGGAGACAGACGTGCCAATGATCCTTGTTTGATTTGAGACAGTAATTCTACTAGTACTTAACCAGGTCAGGAAGGCATACCTCAAGTATTTTATTATTATTTTCAAGACTTATTTGTTTATTTGAAAGACAGAGTTGGGCCCAGTGCAATGACCTAGCGGCTAAAGTCCTCGCCTTGAAAGTGCTGGGATCCCATATGGATACTGTTCTAATCCTGGCAGCTCCACTTCCCACCCAGCTCCCTGCTTGTACCCTGGGAAAGCAGTTGAGGACAGCCCAAAGCCTTGGGACCCTGCACCTGTGTGGGAGACCTGGAGGAAGTCCCTAGCTCCTGGCTTCAGTTCAGCGAAGCACCGGCCGTTGCGCTCACTTGGGGAGTGAATCATCGGACAGAAGATCTTCCTCTCTGTCTCTCCTCCTCTCTGTATATCTGACTTTCCAATAAAAATAAATAAATCTTAAGACAGAGAGAGAAAGAGAAAGACAGAGTTACAGTGAGGGGGAAGAGAGAAATTTTTCATCTACTGGTTCACTCCTCAAATGGCTCCAAAGACCAGAGCTGGACCAGGCTGAAGCCAGGAGCCAGGAGCTCCCATGTGGATGCAGGGACTCAGGGACTTCTGCCATCTTTGGCTGTGTTTCCAGGGAGCTGGATTGTAAATGGAGCAAATGGTACTCAAACTGGCACCCAGATCATGTTATTCATATTATGTTTCTTTGTCCTTTATTTGAAAAAAAGTTTATTTATTTAAAAGGCAGAGTTACTGAGGAGGGAGGTAGAAACACCTACAGATTCACTCCGTAAATGGCTGCCATACTTGGGGCCGGGCCAGGACAAAGCCAGGAGCCAGGAACCTTACCCACGCCTCCCACAGGGCTGCAGGGGCTCGAGCACTTGTTTTCCTAGGCTTCTCTGTAGGGAACCGGGTCGGAAGTAGAACAGCCATTTGCTTCATGGCCCAAGCGATACTCACGGGCTATTTCTGCTTGTGTATCTGACATCATGCACAGAAACACCACGTCCGTGTCCTGGGTAGGATACGTGGTCTGTGAATATTCATGAGTAGATTTGCTTGTTCTGGTCTCTGTTCATATATAGCTTTATTCTTAGAAATAGAATTGAGGGGCCATTTGGCGAGTGAATTAGCAAATGGAAGGCTCTCTTTTCAAATAAATGTATGTTTTTAAAGAAGATTTATTTAGGGAGCAGTGTGTGGCACAGAGATTTAAGCTTTTGCGTGCAATGGTTCGAGTCCTGGCTGTTCTGCTTCTAATCCAGGCTGCCTGCTAATGCACCTGGAAGGCAGCAGACAATGGGCCAAGTGCTTGGGCCCCTGAAGCTGAGTAAGAGATGTACATGGCTTTGGCTTTATCAAACACCGGCCATGTTGGCTGTGTGGCCATCTGGGGAGTGAACCGGTGAATAGAACGTAGCTCACTTTCTTTCTGTATAACTGCCTTTCAACTAAATAAGCAAATCTTTTTTTAAATGTATTTGTTCATCTGAAAGGCAGAGTGATAGAAAATGGGGGGCAGAAAACCTTTCGTCTACTGGTTCATTGAAGCCAGGGGTTACCTCGGCGTCTCCCGCGAGGGTCGCAGGGTCTCAAGGACTTGAGTCATCCTCTGATGCCTCCCGGGTGCGTTAGCAGGAAAGTAGATGGAGGTGTCGGTGGGACTCGATGCCACCTGTGGGGTGGGATGTGGGTGTCCCAAGCAACAGCTCATCACTGTGCCACAGCACCTCCTGCAGGACATGCTTTCCTGCCCAGGGCTCTTGACCTAGGTGCTGGGCTCTGGGAAGGCCTCTGATCTCACCAGAGGTAGATAGGATGGGTCACTCAGGGAGGGGTCTCTGAGCAGAGGGACCAGCTGTGTGTCAAGCACAGCTCCTGTCAGAGGTGGACAGTACCACGGGTCCCAGGAACTGAGCGGAGAAAGGGGTGAGCTGGACTTGGACAGCACGGCATGTTTGCTGTGGATCTGAGAAGGAGCGCTGAGATCTATCCACTTCCAGATGGGGACAGTTTGTTCTCTTTTCAGTAGCTTCTCAAAGTGGGTCTGACATGATCTGGGCCTTTGCAGCAAACAGGCTGGCCCAGGCTGAGGGCTGCTCTTGGTTCTTGGTAGGACAGGGAAGGTTGAACAGGCAGGTCTGTGCCCAAGACACAAAACAGTCTTCATTCTGCACGCACCTGACGAGTACTCCATGAGCACTCAAGAGCAGAAGGGAACCCATGGCGGGGAGGGCAGGGTTCCTAGCACTCTGGGTGGTGGGAGTGGTCAGGGTCTCAAGTGGGGTGGGAGTGTTTTCCTGGTGTTCCTTGGGTCCTCCTACAGTTACATCTGGTCTCTCCTGCCCATGCCTCCCGTGGCAGCCGCCTGATTTCAGGGACCTGCCCGAATGGGAGCCCCGCATCCGAGAGGCCTTCCGTGCTGGTGACCTTGACTCCAAGACTGACTCCCACCGGAGCTTTAGGCCTTACCGAGCTGAAGACAAGGACTCCTATGCCTCCGAGGTGGGTCAGGCCTGAGCAGGCAGGGCTTGGGTGCCAGGCTGTGAGCAGGGAGCTGGGACCCAAACCAGTGCCATGTGGATCGGGGCATTGCAGGCAGCAGCTTCACTTGCTGTGCTACATCAGTCTGGTAACTAACCATGCTAGACTTGATAGCTTGACTGGTTCATGTTTTTTGAAAGGTAGATTTTTATAGAAACACAGAGAAAGGTCTTCAGTCTGCTAGTTCACTCCCCCCACATGGCTGTAGCAGCCGGAGCTGAGCCCATTCAAAGCCAGGAACCCGGAACCAGAAACGTTTTTTTGGGGTCTCCTATGCAGGTGCCGGGTCCCAAGGCTTTGGGCCATATTGCACTGCTTTCTCAGGCCACAAGCAGGGAGCTGGAGCTGGATCGTAGTAGAGCGGCCAGGACGTGAACCATCACCCATGTGTGATGCTGGTGAAACAGGCAGAAGATTAGCACGCTTTGTCACCATACCAGCCCTGTGGTGGGGGGGAGTAAGGTGTTTTTTTTTAATCATGATTAGGTTTAGTGCTTGAACAACTCTTATGATAATGTAATCGTTAGGACTAAGGCTAGGGTTCTGTTTAGGTTTCGCATTAGGTTCAGGAATAGTATGATTTCTCACCTGTTTTCCCCACCCCCACCCAAGATCAAGGAGCTGCAGCTGGTGCTGGCCGAGGCCCATGACAGCCTGCGCGGCCTGCAGGAGCAGCTCTCCCAGGAGCGGCAGCTGCGGAAGGAGGAGGCTGATAGCTTCAACCAGAAACTGGCCCAGGTGGGTGGTGCCCAGGCCATCCCTGTCCCCAATCCAACTTCTCCTGCCCTGACCAAGGGCAGGGTCTTCCGAAGGTGAGAATGCCAAGGAAACCCAGGCTACAACTGGGAGGGTACCTGCACTTGTCATGGTGCCCTGGCTACACCGCGCTGGGGTTCTGGACTTGTCAGGGAAGCATTTATGAAGCTCCAGCTGTATGCTGTCCACCCATGATATCCTTCCATGGACTCCCCTCTCCCCAAGAACTGAAGTGCTTTCCCCAGGTTGCATATCCAGGCAAAAGGGGCTGGGACTAGATCATTCCCCAGCCAGTCTTGCTGCCTGTTTCTCTTAGCTGTCCCTGTGGTCACCGCCCCCCCCATCACCCACCCCTCCAGCTTCCTCTTTGTGAGTCCACATGGGACCTCTGGCAGGTAGTTGACAATCTGACGCGTGGTAGGCTTTCAGTGCCTGCTGTGATTTGTGACTGTGCAGCTGCTGCTGCTGCTGTTATTTAGGTGTTTTTCCTCTCTGGTGCAGCAGAGGGCAGCACTTGAACTAACTGTTAGCTGCAACCCCCCAAACCTTTCCCCACTATGGGGCTCCTCCCTGCCCTGGGATGAGGGACTGGAACCCCAGAGCTGGCTGGGTTTGCTCCAGCTGGTGTTCCCCACTTCCCCAACTCCGGCAGCTGAAGGAGGACCAGCAGAGGGCGCTGCTGAGGCGGGAGTTTGAGCTGCAGAGCCTGAGCCTGCAGCGACGACTGGAGCAGAAGTTCTGGAGCCAGGAGAAGAACATGCTGGTGCAGGAGTCGCAGCAGTTCAAGCACAACTTCCTGCTGCTCTTCATGAAGCTCCGGTGGTTCCTCAAGCGCTGGCGGCAGGGCAAGGTCTTACCCGGCGAGGGCGATGACTTCCTCGAGGTGAGCACTGTGAGTGTGATGTTAGGGGCTGAGGCTGGCATGCTTTGCAGGCCCTACTCGTGCTGTCAGGCAGTATCCACCTTGTGTAGCCTGTGGAGTCCTATGAGAGTGTGAATTCCAAATGCACCTGGCCAAGGCCTCCCAAGGGAATTGCACATCTGTCTATGATACTGTCCAGATGTCTGCATGCTATACATCCTAAACTGCCTCGCGGGCCTCTGGCTCTTGGGCCCCTTCTTCACGCAGTCCCAGGATGCCCCATTCTTGGTTTTCCTTCCCCTCTGAGCTGTTGCTCTTTATCTCTGATGTCACTTCTGAAGGAAAAGACCCCCTGACCTGCCCTGACTCCCTCGGGCTGTGGCTTCCATGACCTTTCTTGAATGTGGAGTTCCAGCTGGATGCTTGGAGCCCAGGCATCTGTGAGCCACAGAGCTGTAGCCTCTCTGTCCTGCTAGTCCTCCCACTCCCACCCCGCCTCACATGTCTGGGAACCTTTGCAAATAGTGTGTCCCAAGCCAGGGGAAGCTGCTTGCCTGCCAGAATCCCCTGTCCCAGTGCCGGTGCAAGTCCCAGCTGCTCTGCTTCAGCTCCAGTTCCCTGCTAATGCTCCTGGAGGGCAGGGGAAGGTGACTCAAGTGCGTGTTGGAAGGCAGGGTGAAGTTCCTGCTCTTGCTTCAGCCTGGCTTTTTGAACCAGCAGGTAGAAGTTCTTTTCCTCCCTATCTGTCAGTGCCATTCAAATAAATAAATACATCTTTCAAAAAGAAACCCTGCTGTCCCCTCTACTCCCGTTCACCCTATAGCTCACGAAGATTCCTTCTTGCTTAAGGCTCGGTCTCGCACGCTCCTCCAGCTCTTTCGTTTCCCCTGGTAATGTCAGCACGTGCTGCCCGTTCTGCCTTGACAGCCTGTGTTGCGTCTAAGGCATCCCCCCGAGCCCTGGCCAAGCTGCTGTCACTTCTTGTCAGGGGGGTTGCTGTGACCCCCTCACGTGTTCAGCAGGTGCAGAAGGTGTTGTGCAGTTGGCAGGCTGGGCTCTGCAGCTGCCCCAGAGTGCGCCGTAGTTCAGCATGGCTGCTGAGAGCAAGCTCGTGAGATTGAAGGTCTGCTCGGCATCCTACCTCTGCTCTCAGCCTCCCCTGACTCCTGGGTCACCCGGAGTCCCTGAGGTGTCCTGGCTACTGTGGCATCATTCTCCAGCCTCCCTCCCCTGTCTCCCTCCCTCTGTGGCTTTCCTTCAGCCTGCTTCTACATCAGAGCCGTTGGGAACCCCTCTTCAAAATTCTCCCCTTTTAGAGATTCCCACGGCTTATTCGCAGCTTTGAAAGCAGATAGAAAGGTCTTCCACATGCTGGTTCACTCTCTGCATGCCAGCATCAGCCAGAGGTGAGCCAGGCTGAAGCCGGAAACCAGGCTGAGTACTAACTAGTGCTGTCCCTGGGGTGCCTGCTGAGGTGCAGGAAGCGGGACTGTGGATTGGACCTGGGGCTGGAACTGAGGTGCTCTGGGGTGTCCCAGGAGGCATCTTAACTGCCACACCAAACGCCTGCCAGTGCTGTGCCCACATATTGCCTTCTGTGAATCCCCTCCCTGGGCCACCTGTGTGCAGCATGTCCCAGCTCCTCTTCTGCCTCTCCTTCTCCATGACATCTGCCACCACATGGCACACATATAACTCCTGACATTTCATACTTTTCTGAGTTGTTTTTCTCACTACTGAGATGTGACTGTGTGGGGACAGAGATTCTATCTCGCTTTTGGCCGTATCCCCGCTCCCCACGTAGGGCCTGGCACCTGTATTGTGGCCCTAATTCAGTCAGTCAATGAATGAGTGAATGAGTGATGGGGAGAAGCACCTCAGACAATGGCCTCACTTTGTTTCTTGCCCTTGCTGAACTAGATTCCCAAATCTGTCAGCCACGAGTCTCCCCAAGGAGGGGTCCCCTTTGTGTACCCAAACCTTTGTCACCATTGAGTGCCTGGGCCCTTCTGTTGCAGCCATAGTACTTGCCTTGGCCCAGTCTGGCTGCATGGTTACTTCTGAGTTACTCCTGTGTGACTCATGGTCCTTGGGGCCAACAGAGTCTGAATGTTCTGTGACTCAACCTAGACGGTGCCCAAGGCTCAAGTTCAGATTTGGGAAGTCTGTGCCGGACTAAACTGCCTGTGACTGCCTGGCCGTGAAGTGGCCTTGCTCCCTGGGCTCCTTGCCAGAGTCCCCTCCCTTGGAGGCTGCAGCTATTGGCGTGAAATCCTCCCTGCAATCTGCTGCCGCCCCTTCTTTTTAAATATTTATTTATTTAAAAGTCAGAGTTACATAGAGAGACAGGCAGAGACAGATCTTGCATCCACTGGTTTACTCTGCAGATGACTGTAATAGCTAGAGATGGGCCATCTGTGTGGAGCTGGATTGGAAGTGGCGCCACCGGGACTTGAACTGGTGCCTGTATGGGATGCTGGCCTTGTAAGCAGTGGCTTAATCCACTGTGCTGCTGGGCTGGCCCTCTGAGTGTGATTTTTAAAAACTAGGTGAATAGCATGAAGGAGCTGTACCTGCTGATGGAGGAGGAAGAGATCAACTCCCAGCATTCAGACAACAAGGCCTGCTCGGGGGACAGCTGGACCCAAAACACAGTGAGTGCTCAGACCTGCCTGCTCCTGGCTGACCTGTTCCGTGACCCTTTCCTGCTGGCTTCCCTGGCCCGAGTCCTGCCCTGGGCACTAGAGCAGCACAGGGCTGCTGCCAGCCACGGGGCTTCAGGTACTTAGTGCTAAGCAGTACATGATGGGGAGGGCACAGAGGGTCACATGATGGACCAAGCGTTCGCAGTCAAGAGAGTAGAGGGGTATGTCACAGAGCAGGGACCATCAGTATTTGGTTTTTACAATTTATTTATTTGAAAGTCAAGATTATAGAGAGATTTTTCCATCCTCTGGCTTACTCCCCAGATGACTGCAACAGTCAGTGTTGGACTGGGTCACTTGGGCCCTCCTCTGTAACTTCTGGGCCATTAACAGGGAAGTGAGTCAGAAGTGGAGCAGCTAGGACTTGAACTGGTGCCCACATGGGATGCTGGCATTGCGGGTGGTGGCTTAACTTGCTATGCCACGTGGCTGTCTGCATCAGTGGTGGGATTTAAAGGGTGGAGTAGAGAAAGGAGGAACGACCATGGTGGTACAAAGAAGCTGAGTACAGGGGTGCAGCACAGAACCCGGGGCTGGCTGTGGCTCAGGCTGTGCGTAGAAGAGGCCATGTGGCCTGGGGTCAGGGGCCCCTAAGCTGTGGGTCAGAGAGCAGCAGGATCAGGCTGCCAGGCCAGGCACAGTTTGAGAGGCTCCGTGGACCAGGGCAGAGAAGCAGAGCTGGGGGCTTGGAGTGGAGGGCCCCCAGCCACAGCCCTGTGGGGCTAGCTCTGGGTCGGGTCCTTCCTGTGACTGCAGGACCTGTGCTCCTGTGAAGCCAGCAGTGGCTTCAGCCCAGGAACGGCCAGCACAGGGGTCCACCTCCCCATCCCACACTCCCACAGGCACAGGCTCCCCTCCCCAAGCAACTGACCTTGGCCTTGCCCTCCTGCCTGCAGCCCAACGAGTACATCAAGACACTGGCCGACATGAAAGTGACGCTGAAGGAGCTGTGCTGGCTGCTCCGGGACGAGCGCCGTGGCCTCACGGAGCTGCAGCAGCAGTTTGCCAAAGCCAAGGCCACCTGGGAGACCGAGCGGGCAGAGCTCAAGGGTCATGCCAGCCAGGTGAGCTGCCCACAGGTTAGACGCCTCTTCCCCAGGGGGCTAGCATTCTTCCTGGATTCACACAGCAAGGGCACCAGACCCAGAGGTGAGGGGAGGAGGGCGAGGAATTGGCGGAGGTCTGTGTGTGTTTGTTAGCCAGACCCACTTCTGACTGCCAGCACTGCCCACCCAACCCCACACTTGGTGAGCCCTGGGAAAGGATGCTTTTTGGGGTGCTGGAAGTGCAAGGACGCACTGCAAGGACGCAGTGCTAGAAGTGCAAGATCCAGGGCTGTGCACTGAGGCCCTTCCTGTTGGTATAGCCCTGAGGCCACACAAGGGTGGTATGGCAGGAGCCCGGAGTGGTTGGGGCTCTCCCCAGTTCTGCTTCTTCCTGCATAGCAACCAGACCCGTTCATGTGGGCTCTGCCCTGATGACCCCTGGCAGTCCTGATTTCCTCTTGACATCCTAGCTCTAATGCTCAGAGCTGGGGAAGGCCTCACTGTCTTTCTTCTTCTTCTTCTTTTTTTAATAGTTATTATTTAATTTTTACAATCTTTATGTAGTTGATTAGGGCACAAAGGGTCAAGGGCTACAGGAAAGTGGGTAAGACCATTGTTTCCACATTTTTAATCTCTCTCTTTTTTCTGTACCTGGGTAAGAGGGTAGATAAAGGGAGAAACCCCAGGCCCCACTTTCTTAGTCCTTTATAAAGAGCTGAGTTTTTTTTAACAGTAAATGCTTGGGGACACGCAGAGCCACCAGAGACCTGCTACATGCTTCATGAGGATCCGTTGGGCTCCTCCACCCAGGCGTCCCCCCACTCCTGCCCTGGGCCTCACAGTATCTGGTCAGGGATGCTCTGAGGATGGCTGCTGCACAAATACAAGACAAACATCTCTGAGTTCAGTTTCTCTCCAGTGGCACCCAGCTCCTGAATGGTGCCTCGGATTCCTAGACCTCTGCCCCCTGGCTCACCATGACCAGAGTCTCACCATCTTCCCAATGATCAGGGTTCCTGACTTCTTCCTGGGGACACCGTGTCCCCTGCCCTGCTGCTCAGCCCATCTGCACAATCCACAGTGTCCACTGTTCCCAGCCCCTCAGCACATCCCAGCATCTACTGCCTTCTCTGCAGGTGCTTCTCTCAAGTGGAACCTGACCAGCCAGCTCCAGGGGATCACCATGTGAACCACTGTGTGAGCCTGCTGGGTCGGGGGAGTGGCCTTGAGGCACGAGGGTGTGCACCTTTGCCCCTTGCCAGCCTCAGGGTTGCCTCCCTCCACCACTACCTGGGCCTTCATGCTGGAGTGATTCCTATAATGGCTGGGAATGCTTCAAAGCAGGACCTGTAAGGGGACAGTGTGTGGTCCCAGCTCTCCAGGAGAAAAGACCAAGCTAGCTCCCTACTAGCCAGAGCCCATCCTGCTGGTCAGATGTGGTGGGACAGAACCCCACCAGGGCACCTTATGCCCACGATGGTTGTCACTTTACCAAGTTTTCATGACCATCCTGAGCTTGTGCTTGCAAAACCCACAGTTCACAGTGGGCCAGGTGGGACGCTCTGGAAGCCTGGCTATGAGCAGGGATTTGTTCTACATAAGGAGGTTCATGGAGGTTTCTGGGTGAGGGGGTCTCTCCAAGGGACCTTCTTTCCCTGACTTGCTATTGGTGCCCAGGGGGAGACTGGCAGGGATGAGGCATTGCCTGGTGCCAGCTGCAGGCTGCTGTTTCCCACAGATGGAGCTGAAGGCCGGGAAGGGTGCTGGAGAGCGGGCAGGGCCTGACTGGAAGGCAGCCCTGCAGAGGGAACGTGAGGAGCAGCAGCACCTGTTGGCCGAGTCCTACAGCGCTGTCATGGAGCTGACGCGGCAGCTGCAGATCAGCGAGCGCAACTGGAGCCAGGAGAAGCTGCAGCTGGTGGAGCGGCTGCAGGGTGAGAAGCAGCAGGTGGAGCAGCAGGTGAAGGAACTGCAGAACCGCTTGAGCCAGGTGAGGCCTGCCCTGCCCACGCTGCCTTGAACCATAGGGGAGAGTCGCCTTAGAAAGGTTCCTATATTACAGCTCTCATCGGCCAAGTGTGGGTCCTGTGCTTACTCCTGGAGCCTATCAAAATCCAGGACCCAAGAGGGAGGACCCACAGTTGGTTTCTGTGAGGAAATTGAGTTGCTTTCTGGACAGACTCCTACACACTCACCCCAGCTCCTACGACCCTGCTGAAGTGCTCGGCCCTATATTTGGATGTTTTCCTTTCCTTTTAGACATTTATTTTCATTTTATATGAAGAAGCGAGAGAAGTCTTTCATCTGCTGATTCACTCCCCAAACGCTCACCACAGCCAGGGTTGGGCCAGGCCCAAGTCAGGAGCCCAGAACTCCCTCGGGGTCTCCTTGTGTAGACAGCAGGGATTCCAGGGCTGGAGCAGAAGCACAGGAGCTGGGACTCAAACTAGATGCTTGAATTTGGGATGTGGCAGCATCCCAGGCAGACAATGTGCTGCACCAACGCCTGCCCCTGCTTTTATCTGAGTCAATATGTAAGACCCAAATATTTCGATTACAGCAGCATGTAATATGTGTGCTTACCTATTTATTCAAAAGGCAAATGGACAGAGGGAATCCCGATCCCCTGGTTTACTCCCTGAATGCTTTCAGTGGCAGGAGCTTGGTCCTCATTTTTCGTGATGATGTCAGGAACCCAAGTACTTGGAATATCCCTGCTGCTCTCCAAGACCTGCAGTGGTGCAAGCTGGATTTGGGAGCTGGGACAGAGACGCTAGCTCAGCGAATCTGATGCTGAGTGCAGGCACCTTACCTGGTGTCCTGTTGGCTCGGCTAATTTCCACCACCACCATTTTTTTATCTGTCTAAATTAAAGACATTTCATTTATTATTCATTTATTTGACAGAGTGACAGGGAGAAGGAGAGATGCAGAGAAATAGCTTCTAAATACTGGTTTACTCCCCACAACAGTCAGGGCTGGACCAGGCGTCTGTCCTGTCTCCCACATGGGTGGCAAGGGCCCATATCCTTAGGCCATCACCTGCTGCTTTCCCAGGTGTTTTAGGGAACTGGATAGGAGGCAGCAGAGCATGTGGGACTCGAACCAGCGCTCTGATGTGGGAAGCTGGTGTTGCAGAGGGTGGCTTAACACTGCTCCTTGCAGTATTCACCAAGAGGTTTTACTCTTTCACTGTTAATGTAATCCTCATGTCTGGATTACTTCTCCTGCCTGTTTTGTGTGGAGCTGTCCCCGGCGGAGCACAGAAGCCTCATGTGGGGTCACTGCTGCCTGGCTCTTCTGGAAGAGAGGCCATCATTTATTCTAATACAGTGACAGCTTCTTGCTGTTAACAGTGCCCAATGCATGTCCCCATGCACACGCATACCTCCTGGTAGGACAGGTTCCTGGAAGTGAAACAGCTGGTTAAGGGCCATGCGTAGTGTGTTTGTTCATAGCTGATGGAGGCTGCCGAGCCAGCTCTTCTGCCTGTTCTGCTGTGTCTCAGATCTGCCTGCCCCCTGGGGTTTGGTGCTGGGCTTCACTCTGGTTTCTGATGAAGGTGAGCATCCTCCTCTAGGTTGGCTGTCTCCAGGCCCCACAACAGCCTGGCAGGTGCATAACCACTAGAGCCCTTATTCAGAGGAGGAAGCTAAGACGCAGTGATGTGACCAGGGTCATAAAGTAGAGAAGGAACAAGACCACAACCTGGCAGAAGTCCTGATCCTGGCCAATTCCTGTCCCAGAACCCATGGAACCAGAGCCCCTCTGAGGCTCCGCCCACCAGTGAGGTCAGGATGACAAGTTGATTCCTGAGCCATCCATGGACCGGGCAGAAATAAGATCCCTTTATACCCAACAACTAAATTCTTGTTTGAAGGAGGATTTGGTGCAGCAGTTAGAGGGTTTTCTTGGGACACCGCATCCCATATTGAAGTGTATGATTTAGAGTCCCAACTCTGCTTCCTCCACGTGGGAGAACTGGATTGAATTCATCTCTCTTTACTTCTCCCTGACCTGTGACAGTCTTGTGGAGAATAAACCAAAGGTTAGACGCCTGCTGTCTGTGTTCCTGCCTTTCAAATAAATCAGTCCATCAGTCCGTCTGGAATGATCCCAAGCAAATCCCTCACGGTTTTTTCCAGAATAAGGTTTCCTGGGATGTGGCACATTGTTCCCATGGATACAGTCCTGGACAAGCCACACTGGGTGGGTTGCACAGGAGTGCAGGTGATATGGTTAAGGCCTGGAGGAAACCAGGACAGGGAAAGGGAAGAAGCTCAGCAAGAAGAAGCTTTCTGGTGAATTCTGCCCTCAGCCTGCTCCTGTAATAAACTTGGCAGTGTAAACAGGAAGTCACGTCCAGTTGGCCTAGCCTTTTGTCCAGTCTTGTCCATGATCAGGCTCCTGATGCCCAGAGGGGATTTCAGTGACAAATGGCACAGATGGAGGCCAGCCATGGAGCCACAGGATGGGCTGTGCGCTTGGGACAATGTCACACTGCTCATTCTGCTCTTTTTCTGTCTTGAACCTCTCATCTGTGACCTGTGACACCAACTTTGTGGAGCTGCTACAAGGGCTGAATTCACCAATGCGTGCCTGCACGTGGGCTCCATCATGTGCCACCTGGAGGTTGGGGGGCCCCAACAGGGTGCAGAGCCAGAGGCACCTCAAGGCTAATGGGAAGGAGCACAGGATCCAACAGCAACGGCCACTGCAGATGAGCAGGCCCTGGGGATGTGGGGATGCTGGATCTTGTCTTTGCCAGCTGATGAGAGGAGCTGCGTGGAACAGACTTGGCTGTCCCATGCCCTGCAGCAAGCATGGACACAGCCGAACCTACGCCAGGCATAGTGACGCCATCAGGCTGCCCATGAAGGGTTTTTGTTACCATTTTCCCACTCCCCTCAGGGTTTGGCTCGGAGCTGCTGCTCACTGAGAAGATGGCTCCTGGTCTACAGTATGGGTTCTCTGGGTGGCAGAGCCTGGGAGGGCCCTGTTCAGAGTAGGGGGCCAGGGCTCACCTGCGATACCTGCCACTGACCTGCCCTCTTGGTCCCTGCCCAGCTGCAGAAGGCCGCTGACCCCTGGGCCCTGAAACACTCAGAGCTGGAGAAGCAGGACAGCAGCTGGAAGGAGGTGCGTGGGGGCTCACGTGGCTCCAGGCTCTACCTGTGGTCCAGACAAGGACCCTTGGGTAGTTGGGGAAGTCCGAGACAGCCTCCAGGCTGGCCTACTGCTGCCCCCTTTCCTGCTCTGCGCCCTGGCGGACAGCACTGACCCTTCCTATCTCCTCATTGACAGGCACGCAGTGAGAAGATTCACCACAAGGAGGCGGTCTCTGAAGCTGAGCTCAGTGGAACTGGCTTGAAGAGGTGCTGCCACCCCGCCCCTGCTGGTCCCCTCTGCCCCATTGCCCCTGCGTCACCTCTGTAGCTCACCTGTCAGGAAGCCACCAGGATGTGACTTCTAGGCAGTCCAAGCCACCCAAGAGCTGGACCGCATGGACCAGGGGCATTCTACCTACAGCTAAGGACTTCTTAGGTCCCAAGCTGGGGAGCCCAGGCTGCTTTTCCCACTGCTGTTTAGCTCCTCCTAGTATTCTTTATCCTGATTGTTGGACTGGGAAGGTCATGTCTCGCCTCCCTTCCCTGGGGTGACGACTTTAGGGCCTGTCCCTGTGCTGTGACTACAGGGACCTCCAGGTCTACGAGGCACTGAGTCGCCCCCACTAGGAGACCCAAGAGAAGAGTGAGGGAAAGAGACTGGAACCAGCAAGCCCACCCGGAAGCAAGTCTGGGTAAAAGGGATCCCCATGCTGCCATGCTCAGCTTCGTGCCAGGCACCTGCTAGCTTCTGACTTTGGATTTCCCCTTGCCCCCCAGAAGTAAACGCTGAGAAAAGAGTTATCATGCAGTTGGATCCAGGAGTCCCCTGCAAGTAAAATGGGGAAGAAAAACAGTTGAGAAAAGGCACTGTAGCCAGGTGTGCCCCTGCGCTCACTGTTGCTGTGGAATTCTGCAAGGCCAGGTGGAGCGTGCAACTCCTGGCACCCCCCACTGCAGGAAGGGCAGTGTTGTCCTCACTCCAAGACCCTGCCTGCCATGCACTGAGGGCTGTGCCCATGGGCATTAACTCTGGTGCTGTGGAGCTTTCTCTAGCTGGAGGCTGGGTATGAGCCCTCAGGGACAGAGACAAATGGTCAGATAAGCAGAGGTAGTGCTGGGCATCAGCCACATACTCTGCTGAGGTGAGCTGGGCGACCTCTGCCCACCTGCTGTGTCCAGCCTGGGGAGGCTGACCGACACCTGCGCACAGGTGTGAACACAGCACAAGTGCGTGTATCAGGGCAGGGGTGGGGGTGCAGTGGGCTCAGCTGCCACTTGGAATGGCCATATCCTGTGTGGAGTGCTGGTTCATGTCCTGGCTCCTCCCCCTCCAGCTCCTTGCTAATACAGCTGAAAGGCAGCAGGTGACTGGAGGGCTTGGTTTCTGCTCCAGTGTGGGGCCTAGGATGGGTTCCAGGCTTCTGGCTTTGGCTTGGTTCAACCCCAGCTGGTGCAGGCATTTGGAGACAAGCCACCCTCCCTCTCTTTCTCACCCATACCCTAATCTGTATCATATTTTCAATAAGTTAGTATTAAAAAAAGTTATTACCAAAACATCTTGAAAATCAGGCATCATTATTCCATAATATAGATTTTCTATGAACCTCTTTTAAAAAAAAAACAAATTTATTTTTAAATTCATTTATTTTTACTGAAAAGGCAGCTATAAAGAGAGAAAGAGATACAGAGATAAATATCTTCCATCCGCTGGTTTACTCCCCCTAAGTGGCTGCAATGGCCAGAGCTAAAGCCAGGAGCCAGGAGCTTCTTCTGGGTCTCCCACATGGGTACAGGGTCCCAAGGCTTTGGGCCGTCCCCGACTGCTTTCCTAGGCCACAAGCAGGGAGCTGGATGGGAAGTGGAGCTGCCGTGATTAGAACCGGCGCCCATGTGGGATCCTGGCGCTTTCAGGTCAAGGACTTTAGCTATTAGGCCATGCTGCCAGGCCCGCAAAGTGAGGATTCTAACCAGCAGGCTACTGCACTGGGCCCATTCCATGAACCTTTTAAAGACCTTCTATTTGCATGGGTTTCAATATATATATATATATTTTTGCAAGAAGATAAACTTCTAATTTAGTTGCTTATTTTTACCTATTTACTTTGGTTGAAAGGTAGAGGGATCTTCCTTTCACCGGTTCATTTTGCAAAAGCCTGCAAAGGGCAGGGTCTGTCAGGCCAGGGCCATGTCAGGTCTCCCTGGTGAATGACAAGCAGCCAAGTGCTTGAGCCACTATCACCACTTCCCAGACTGCACACTGGCAGGGAGCTGGAGCAGGAGATGGGCTGTGAACCCAGACATTCCAGCCTGGGATGCAGGCATTCCAAGCAGGAAGTATCTTCACCACCCCACCCCCAAAACCCTTCCTAATCTCACCCTGCATGGACTATTCCCAGGGCCCTTCTGCTTCCCTTAACACCACTTTTTCCTCCTCTGCTCCTTTCAGAACCAAATCTGTTTCTTCCATGTCCGAATTTGAAAGTCTGCTGGACTGCTCCCCCTACCTGGCTGGTGGCGGTGACACACGGGGCAAGAAGCTGCCCAACAGCCCTGCCTTCGGCTTCATGGGCACAGAGCCTGGGGAGCCCAAGAAAGGCACTCAGGAGAAGCCGGGGCTCTCCACCCGGGACTGCAGCCACCTAGGCCCCCTGGCCTGCCAGGACCCCGCAGGTAAGCAGATGCAACGCAGCTATACCTGCCCGGACAAGACGGGCATTCGCGTGTACTACAGCCCCCCGGTGGCTCGGCGCCTGGGCGTCCCTGTGGTTCATGATAAGGAGGGCAAGATCCTCATTGAGCCCGGCTTCCTCTTCACCACGGCCAAGCCCAAGGAGTCAGCCGAGGCGGACGGGCTGGCTGAGAGCTCCTACAGCCGGTGGTTGTGCAACTTCTCACGGCAGCGCCTGGACGCAGGTCCCGGCAGTAGCGCTTCCACGGGGGCGGGGCCAGGCTTCCCTGCAGCCCTGCACGACCTGGAGATGTCTGGCAACATGAGTGACGACATGAAGGAGATCACCAACTGCGTGCGCCAGGCCATGCGCTCGGGCTCACTGGAGAGGAAGGTGAAGAGCACGTCCAGCCAGACTGGGGGCCTGGCCAGCGTGGGCACACAGACCATCCGCACAGTCAGCGTAGGCCTGCAGACTGACCCGCCGCGCAGCAGCAGCCTACACGGCAAGAGCTGGTCTCCACGCAGCTCCTCGTTGGCATCGGTGCGCAGCAAGCAGCTGTCTTCCTCACTGGACAAAGTGCATGCACGCATTGAGCGGCCCTGCTGCTCTCCCAAGTACGGCTCCCCCAAGCTGCAGCGGCGCTCCGTGTCCAAGCTGGACAGCACCAAGGACCGCAGCCTGTGGAACCTGCACCAGAGCAAGCAGAACGGCTCAGCCTGGGCGCGCTCCACCACCACGCGTGACAGCCCTGTGCTGCGCAACATCAACGACGGGCTGTCCAGCCTCTTCAGTGTGGTAGAGCACTCGGGCAGCACCGAGTCCGTCTGGAAACTGGGCATGGCTGACGTCCGGGCCAAGCCTGAGCCACCCAAGTACGGCCTCGTGCAGGAGTTCTTCCGAAACGTGTGCGGCCGTGCTCCCAGCCCCACCTCGGCTGTGGGGGATGAAGGTGGTGGCTCCAAGAAGCCGGAGCTCCTGTCCCCTGCCAGCTACCACCAGGCGGACAGCGTAGCCAGGATCCTGAACAAGAAGACAGTCAAACCAGGCAGCAGCGAGGAGAGGGCCACTCCCCTCCCCTTGCTTGGGAAGGACGGTATCCCCCGGGAAGGCGACACCGCTACAGGCCTTCCCAATGAGGTAAGGTGTGGGATCTGCCCTTTTTGCTGGGAGAAGGGGCTATCTTATAAGGCCCAAGCCCTTTTGTTTGTTAATTTATTTTTTTGAAAGGCTGAGTCACACAGAGACACACACACACACAAATGATGCATCCACTGGTTCACTCTCCAGTTGGTGCAGATGGTGGCTGAACTCATTCACCGCAATGCTAGACCCTTAAGATGTGTTTTCATCTACTTGAAAGGCAGCCACACAGAGAGGTTCACTTCTCAAATGCCTCCATACCCGGGGCTGGGCCAAGCTGAAGCCAGGAGCCAGGGATTCCATCTAGGCCTTTCCCGTGTGGGTAACAAGGGCCAAGCACCTCGGCCATCATCTGCTGTATCCCAGGTCCTTTAGTAGAAAAGTAGATCAGAAGTAGGACTTGAACCACAGGCATGTGGATATGAGGTGTCTGGTATTGCATGTAATGGTTAACCTGGTGTTCCTGCTTCTTCCCAATCCCTTCTTTCCCACTCCCTCTTCCCCTTTTCCTGCTACATATCCCCACCCCCACCCTGCACTTATGCAAGGGCTGGTTCAAACACCTGAGAAACACGGTCCCATTCCATAGTGTTCTCATTCCAAGAAGTTCTCAGCTGGGTGTGGCATCCTGTAGACCCACTGTGGACTCAGTGAGGGCACCAGAGATGTCAGACTGTGATGCTGCTTTTCTGCTGTGGTATGTTTAGGAAACTGCTAGTTTTTGCCCTCATCAATAATCATGTGGTAAATATCTTGGGGCAAGAACATGTTTCCACATTTCAGATTATTTCCTTAAGCTTGACTTACAGAAAAGGTACTATGGGATAAAAGAATAGCAACTTTTGAGAGGTATTGATAAATGTGTCAGTTCCGTTTCTGCAGCCCGCTAGTGCTATATGCCCAATGCTTCACTTCCCGGCTGTCACCCAGCTGGCTGCCATCTCAAAGCATCTTTCAGGGCTCACTTGGTGTTTGGCCTGGCATTTAGGCTGCGGGCTGGGCCACTCACATGCCATATCAGAGTGCCCAAGTTCAGTTCCTTTCTCTGACTGCGGGTTGCAGCTTCCTGCTAATACGCACTCTTGGATGTAGTAGTGATGACCCAAGTAGTTGGGTTCCTACTGCATCCGGGAGAGCTGATTGGAAGCCCAGGCCCAGCTGCTGTAGGCATCTGGGAAGTGAACCAGCAGATGGGAGATCTCTAGCCTTCTCTCTCTCACTGTCTTTCAAAAACCGGATTACGGTTATGTTGTGGTGGAGCAGGCTAAACCACAACTTATAATGCCAGCATCCCGTAATGGAGCTCCAGCAAGTCCTGACTGCTCCACTTTTGATTCACCTTCTTGCTAATGCACTTATGAAGGTAGCAGACGATGGTCCAAGTACTTAGGCCCCACCACCCGTGTAGGAGGCCTGAATGGCTTCAGTCTAGCTCAGACTTGGCTGTTATAGCTTTTTGTGGGGAGTGAACCAGCAAATGAAAGGTCTGTTTCTCTCTGTCTCCTCCCTTCCCCATCTCTTTCTGCCTTTTAAGTATATATATCTTTTTAAAAATTAAAAATCCACAAATGTCAGTGACCTCAAAACAATTTTTCAAAAAGTCTATTGGATAAATAATTTTGGTGGAATTGAATTACATTCAGGAATTGTATAGAGCATTCAAAACAAGGGCTGCATGCACCTGCCTGTTTGTGGCCAGGGAAAGCAGTGGAGGGTGGGAGACCCAGAAGATCTTGGCTCCTAGCTTCAGGTTAGCTTGGCTCGAGCTGTTGTGGCCACTTGGGGAGTAAACCAGTGGATAGAGGACCTGTCTCTCTGTCTCTCCTCTCTGTGGCTCTGACTTTCCAATTTAAAAAAACAATAATAATAAGGGGCCATAGATACACAAGTGTCCCTGCTTGGGGATGGCCAAGTAGATTGCTGGGGATGGGCCTTCTCGTGACTGTGTGTGTGTTGGGAGTTTAGGGTAGAGGACCAGAGACAATGTGTACTTGTTCCTCTTTGTGATCTAACACTTCCTAGAGTGAACATCCGGTCCTGGTCCTGTGGGAGAAAAATAATAAAAAGAATTTGGTCCAGAGAGGGGTGGGCAGTCCCTGAGAACTGGCCCACAGATGTTGTGGAGTCCCAGTTCCTTGTCTGGCCCTGACCATTCCGCCCCTGGTGACCAGCGCCTTCAGACGCCTCCTGATGTCTGCCTTCCCTCCTTCTAGGACGCTGTGTGTGACTGCAGCGCGCAGTCTCTCACCTCCTGTTTTGCCCGGCCATCTCGCTCCGCCATCCGTCACTCTCCCTCCAGGTGCAGGCTGCACCCTGCTGAGTCTGGCTGGGGCGGGGAGGAGAGGTCAGCTCCGCCAAGCGAGTGACCAGGCAGCCAAGCTCCCCGCCTCCGCTGGCTCCCCCTACCCCCACTCCTGGGTGGCAGAAGCAGCAGCAGAGATGAGGCAGGCATGGGACTGTACCCTCAGCATGGCCTGAGCCTAGAGAGATGGCAGCTGAGTCACTGCCAAGCAACCGTTGTCACATCAAGGTAACGCGTGCTCTTAGTCTCCAGCTTCCCTGGGTAAGACGGCAAGTGGGAGAGAGACCAGAGCGGCTTGAGAAGCAGTCACACTGCGGGCCTAAGGGAGAGCTTTGCCTGATTCATCCATGCCCGCTACTGGAAAGGCCAGCACCTCTAGCCGTACCTTTGGAGAACAGGGTCCACAGAGAAGAACAGGATTCGTTTGTGGAGCTTGGCCAGGCATCCTCACTGTCACCCCTTCTACCACTTGCTCCTTCTCCTGCCCAACCCTTGCTGCTCTAGATTGCTGGGACTCAGGGGATATGATAGGGCAGTGGTCCAGGGTCCACGTATCTTCTTAGAATCCTGGAGCCCTGGATTTCTCTATCCATGCTGTGATGCAGCAAACCTGGGTAAGGAGGTAGGAATGGCAGGGCTCAGGGGTGGGGCAGCTATAGGAATCCCCTTCCTTGCCAAGGTGAGTGAGGGGCTCTGGTCTTCCCTGAGGAAAGCCAGTTTCACTCAAAACCTGGTGCGTTGATAAATGCCTACATACCCACTGCCTTGATCCCCGGGGCCCTGGAAGGGCATCACATTGCCACCGTGTTTACATCTTGCAGCTGGTGGCAGGCCAAGGATGCCCAGTTGGCCAGGCCAGGCCCAGCCTGGGGAGGTACATGAGGCTGGTGCCCTAGGCCATAGCCATTGCCTAGGGCTTGGAAACACATTTCTTGTTAGGTTGTTTATTTGCATTTTTCTTCTTATATTTAAGGTGGTTTATTTTAATAATTTAATTTACCCCGGAGTTCCTAAGGTAATTTATTGGTGGTTGAAACATATGTCCTTGTTGCTGGGATAATGCAGGGCTTCCACAGACAGGATATAGATGAGGCAACTTAGCAGCCGAGCTCTGGTCTCCTGGTTGGTTCAAAAGGGGGCTCATCAGCCAGAGCGCCCACCACCACACCTGCAGCTGATCTTAGAGCATTGCCTGATACTCAACAGCCCCCAGCAGGGTGGAGACCCAGGTTGGTATACCCACTCCCCACATGTTCTCCATTTCCCATCTGGTTTTCCTCCCTCCCTCTCACACCTTCCCTTTGTCACAATGAGTATGACATGGATCAGTAAGACTCCATCAAGGGCCTGGAAGGTTCTCTCCATTTCCTGGTGAGAACTTGCAGGAAAATGGGACTGAACATCAAGAATGTTGTTTACTGCAGCTTTGCACACGAGTCTGAACGTCCACCATCTGCCTCGCTTCTCTTCTGCCTGCCAGCCTCTTCACCAGCCTCTCCTCTTGGCCTTGTCGCCTCCCACAGCTCCCTACCCTTGCCTCTATCCCGCTGGTGCTGCCTAAGCCTTCAAAAGGATTACGGTGTGGCTCATGGCACTGGGACCAGTGAGCCATTGGGCTGTCACCCTGCCAATACCCACACAGACGTGCAGCTGGGGACCCACTGCTTGTCTGCAGGGTTCTCAGGGGCTTTGTCAGTTTGCCACCGGGACTCAGGAGATACTTTCATACTTCCTCCTTCCACCTGCCAGTTCCAAGCCTCACCTTTGTGGGGTCACCTGCTACCCAGAGTCCTCCATTTCCATTCTGCATCAACAACACACCAGAGGCCTGCCAGACCTGCCAGCTGCGTCCTCATACCCTGGTGACTTAGGGGGCTCAGCAGGCCAGCCCATGGAGTCATGGGTCAGGTCCCTTCTGGGGCAATGCTGCTCCCAACCATGCAGTCAAGGAGGTCCCTCAATGTCACCTTCACGTGAGGGATTCACCCCAAGCCACAAGCCGCCAGAAGCCTTCTGCCAACTCCTAGAGCCGCAAGGTCTGGGGAGCATCCACGGTCAGCCCTGGGCAGAAATCCATGTGAGCCTGAACCCTGTGGCTCGGGGACCACTCAGCCTTACCATCGTCCTCGTGTGGGGTCATCCTGCGGTCTTTGTCTCAGTTCCAGCCCCCCAGTCCCCAGCCTGTGCCCGAGGCTGCAGAGCCAGGTCTGGTCTTCACTTCCTGTTCGCCGCTGGGCCAGGCCACACTCCTGCAGAAGCCTCTGGCTGGGGACTTCTCGGGGATGACCGTGTTCCTTGTAAATATTGGTTTGGTTTGGTTTTTTAGCCTTTTACTTGGTAACTGGTTGTGTTTTTCTTTTTAGGGGTGGGGGAGGGTTGGTTTGTAAAAAGTCTACTCTTTTGGAATGTAATTTCTTAATTTGTTTGTCTCTTCCACTGCCTTTTAAGTCTTGGTAACATTCCCAAAGCAGAAAACTGCCTGACCCGTGGTGGGGCTCGCCCTGGAGGACTGGGGTCCTGGGAAGGAACGCTGCCCTCCCTCCTCTCTTCCCCTTGCTGCTCATCCTCCACCTTTTCCTGCCAGCCCCTCTGGCTCCTCCCTCGGACTCTTTTCCTCTCTCCTTCCTCCTCCTCTAATTTCCACTGTGTTCAGTCAACATCCCAAGGAGCCCTGGGGTCCCAGCTCCCTACAGACCACTTGGCTTGGATACATGTAGTCAGCACCAGTTAATTGCGAAGAAAAGGGGGACCGATTGGCAAAGCTGACCCTCCGCTGGGAAGCTTCATGTGTCTCATGTTTGACTTCTTCCCAGAGCCAAGTTAGAACCCTTCTGGGGACAGCAATGACTGCGCCTGACACGAAGATCCCAACCCTCCGCTGTAAGGCCTGTATGCACAGGACATTAGAATCCAGTTCCTACCTCTCAGTTCCTTCCCACCCCTACCCAGCCCTTGTCCTTCCCAGGAACACTCCCTTACTAGCTGGCTTCCTAGGTGAGAGCATTGAGGGCCCAAGGACTTGACCCTTGTACACCCTGGTGCCAGCATGCCTCTACCATGCCCATTCCCGTATTCTTCCCCTGCTTTCATCACAGACAGTATCTGACTCTTACCCTTGTCACCACAACCCTCTCCATCACCCCCACCCCATCCCCTCGCCAAACTCCTGCTATCTTTTTGCTAACAAGAATCCCCTATACATCTTACCTAAGGCATTTACTGTTTAGAAATCACCTGCTCTTCCTACTTCCCCTTCAGATCTCCCAGCAACACCTCTGCAAGGTAACCTTGGCAGGACAGTGGTTGGCACTCCCATTTTGCATAGGAGGAAAATACTCAACTATGGAGTCACAGAGTGGAGCTCAGAACTTGCTTCTGCAGTTTCCCCCAGCCCAAGTCTATCTTATTTTACTGTGCCACTGCCACACTGGGGGCTTTCTGTGGACACAGGATGCCCAGAATATGGTACCACACAACCGAGACATAAGGCAAGCCCACCCCAAGTCACTGCACCTGTGTCTTCCAGAGAGCGGTCAGAAGACCACTTACATGGTAGTCCTCTGAGGACATGTCCAAAATGCAGCTCCTTGGACTCCCACTCAGCCTTCTGAACCAGGAATCTGTATGTGGAACATGCGGGTGAGGGGATGGTAAGTGTGCTTAAGGGCCCTTGACCCCATTGTTTGTGTTCAGAACCCTGACCAAGAGGGTCTTTCATTATTATATATGATGCCAACAACAAATCAAATGCCAGCAACAGCCGAGCTGTCGAAGCCAGGAAGCAGGGACCCAACTTAAGTCTCATATGGGTGACAGCAACCAACTACTTCAGCTATCACTGCTATCTCCCAGGATCCATATTGTTAGGAAACTGGAGAGCTGTAGAGAGCATTGAACTCAGGCGTCGGGCATCCCAACCCACACCTTCACTGTGAGAACCAACTCCCGCCTGTAGACCACCATTCTGTTTACCAAGGACCATGAGGCTAGCTCTTCCCTCTTACAAAGAGCACCAAGTTCTCCACTGCTACTTAGGGAATCCGGCCCTCCACCCAACTGTCCTTTTTTAAAAATGCATCTATCCTGAGAATTTCCAAAAAGCATCAAGGACAGTTTACAATTTGAATCATACATGTTTTTAACAAGACAACAAAAAGTTTAAAAAAAAAAAAAACAGATAAATTATTCACTGAATGCACCTGTGTGATTCCTGTCCTCAGCCCATCCACTTTCACTCTTGAGTTTCCTAGCAGCCATGAGAAAAAGAGAAACACCCATATTCTGCTACTGTCCCCTTTCCTTAAGAACCAAACTGTCCTGCCGGTTTCTAGCCTGTGTCCTTTCAAAGGCTGCCAAGCTAGCCGGTGCTTTAGCAGGTGACCGTAAGATGCAAGAATTTTTTCTCCAGGTGACTCTTTTAAAAATCACAAGCTGCCTCCGATGTGGGTGACTGTGGCTTCAGTCTCCCCAGCTGTAAAGTGGGGATCCAGTTGTCTTCTACCTCACGTGGCTGTGCTGAGGACCAAACACAATATCGTGCCTGCAGGTCTACCTGGAACAATGCAAGTGCGAAGGCAATGCAAAGCTGAGCTAGCCTGAGCTTCCCTTCCGTCTCCTGGCATCCCCTGAATAATCCAATGCCCTTGTTTTTTTTCATTGTGCCAAAATATACACATGTATGATTTCAATTACTTTTAAGTGGCAGGTTAAGTCTATTCACAATGTTGTAAAACCATCACCACTCCATTCCCAGAACTTGTTTTTAATCTTCCCAAATTGCAGTAGACCTCCCCCACCCCACGTTTCCTAGCTCCTGATGGCTTCAGTCCCGTTTCTTCCACGAATCAGCCTATTCCAGGTACCTCCTGGAGGCAAACTCACATTGACATTTGCTTGCCCCTTTGTGTCGAACGCCCTCGTGGCTTCAGAGAATCAGGCCCAGAGCAGGGAATGGTTCCCTTAAGACCACACAGCAAACTGGGAGTGCAGCCAAGGGCTGACGCAAGGTTCCTAGCTGCAACAGATTCTGCTTTCCCAGTGGCGAATGAGATACCCCCTCCCCATCCCCTGACTTTCTCTGAGGGGGCTGAACCCCTTCTCTGTTCAGCTTGCTCCCTACCCCCCAACCCCTCTGTCATTGCATTCCTACCTCCTCTTGTCTGGTCCCTGTCATCTCATGGGGTGGCCATTGGCTATGTTTTCCTCTCCTGGGCCCCTGGACACCTGCCCCAGCTCACCGCCTCCTTGGATTTTCTGTCACTTCGGCACCCCTCCCTGTGCCCCTAGCCCACATTTCCAGCCTATCAGCGCAGTGCCCTATCTGTGGTCTCCCGGATCCTGTATCCACTCAGATCTAGTGGGCTTCAGGGTGCTGGTTGCTTTATTTTGTGTCATTACACACCAGGGAGACCTCTTTGCCCATGTCAGGAGGCCCCAGTCTTGCCAGACCTTTCTCTGGACTTGTCCTGGCCTGGCACCCCCACCACACTGCCAGACCCACCCTGGAACACTCTGTCATCTCCATTCACAGCAGTCTCCCTGGGGCCTGCCCTCTCCTCCCCCACTGCCCTGATGGCTTTGGTTGTCACACAGGTGCAGCCTGACTTGCCTCTTTGTCCATCTGTCTGTCCATTGCACTTCCAGCCAACTCCTCCATTCTCCCTTTGGGCTCCTCACCTGCAGAATAGTTTATCCCGGCTCCTGGCTGTGGCTCTTCTCGGCACTACACTTCACACTTTGTAGTATCCACAGACCCAGGAGGGACTGTGGATGTGGTACTGGGCCTGAGTCACTGGCTCAGGGCTCCATCCCACAAGCTGCCCTCCCTCAATCTTTCAGAAGCTTCTCTTCCCTCTGTCCATCAGCGGTGTCTCCCACCCCTCCTGCTTGTCACCAGCTGCCTGGACGCCAGGCCTCCATGGAGCTTTGGTTTCCTCTGAACGCCCTCGCGGGGCTCCGCTAAGGCCTTCGGGCCTGGCTACTTTGTTCGACTCCCTTCTGGAGACTGGCCTATAACTAGGCAGGTCTCTAACTTCTCTGACCCTGCTAGTTTCAGGATCCAATGGTGAGCATCAGGATGACCTAAGGACCCCAGAGCACCCTTCATTCTTGGGCTCCTATAGCCCCACCATCCCTTCTGCCTCTGGGCCCTGGTATCCTAGCTCCTTAGTTCTGCTACTGATCTCTGTGCCTTAGTCTACTTGTTCGCACAGGGGGAGCTCTCCCCAACTCCATTCCCAGCTGCCTTCTGATCTGGTATCTGTGGGGGTTGGATGTTGCCAGGCGTGGCCCAGCTCTGTGGCACTACCTTGGGGTGACAACTATTCCAGGCCAGTAGTTCTCAGATTCTGTCCCAGCAACAGGAACATCCCCAGGGATCTTGACCCATATGCAGACTGTCAGCCCCACCCGGGACCCACTAAATGACATCTTTGGGAGATGCGCTCAGCAAGCTGAATGTTGATCCGCAAGTTTGCCCACTGCTTATTGAGGCCAGCAGTTAGCAAGCCTGGGAAGACGGGGCTGAGAACAGACAGAAAACTCCACCCTCACGTGGGCTCTGTTGACTGGGAACCAATCCTCAGCCCCCTAAACTTAACACAGAGGATCCGTTGTCTCTCTTCTTCCTGAAAGCTGGAGGGTCTCCAGAAAATAGTTTTCCTTTTTCTGTCCCTGGCCTCCTTCCAGCCCTGCTCCTCCTCCCCCATTTGTCAGGTTTAGCAATGGCTGGGTGGGTGAGGCCAGGCAGTAGGGGATGGGAGGTAAACTTAGTTCCCTCTTGGGAACTTCACCATAGGCCAGGTGGCCTGGTCAGATGAAAAGTAACAGAACTCCAAGAAAAGAAGCCTAAATTCCCAGTTTCTCCTCCTGCTCCTCCCCTTCCCTTCCTTTTCCTGTTCCTCCCCAACTTCCTCCGTTCCCAACTCCAGGGGGACCTTGCAGATAGTGCCAAAAATCAGCCCCTTCCCTGTCAGCAGCCGCCCTTTCTCTCCTCCTTCTCCTGGCTCCCTTCCCAGCCCCCACCAATACTGTGAAGCCCCCTTCTCACCCAGCCTGGTTTCCTGGTAAGGGTCCTGCAGTCGTGGGCCCTGGGGACCCCCAGGAAAAGGCCCCTGGAAGGGAAGGGACCAAGGGCATCCTTGGGCCAACTGTCCACCTCTCCTGTCCACTGTCCTCCCCTCCCCATTTCTGTCTTCAAAAGGCTCCTTCCCAGGAGGGACTGAGTGTGAAGACCACTGCAGTCCAGTCCACCAGCAGCCCCCCAACCCTACCCCGTCCCATGTCTTCTCGCAGACATGCGAATATTGTACAGTGTAAACTTACAAAGCATTTTTAATGGTTGTAGATTGGAAATAAAGTATGTGAGATGAGCACTTGTCATGACTTGGCCTCCTGTCAGATATCTCCTTCAGACTTGAAATCCAACTCTACCTCATCCCTGGAGGGGTGGAGAGGGGGAGTCCTCCAAGTGTCACTGCCAACCGGCTGGTGTGGACACTCTGGGAAGGGCCACCTGCTGCTCTGGCTGCTGACTGCTGATAGCCTGGTGTTTCCAAGAAATGTGAGATGACCCTGGGGAGCAAATAAGTGCAAGCCATTCAGAAAGCAGAAACACAGAGGGCTTGGCACAGTAGCCTAGTGGCTAAGGTCCTTGCCTTGCATGCACCGGGATCTGATATGGGCACCAGTTAGGATCCCGGCTGCTCCACTTCCCATCCAGCTCCTGCTTGTGGCCTGGGAAAGCAGTAGAGGACGGCCCAAGCCTTGGGACCTTGTACTCACATGGGAAACTCTGGCTTCTGGCTTTGGATCAATTCAGCTGTAGCTGAGCCATTGCAGCCATTTGGGGACTGAACCAGGAGAAAGAAGATCTTTCTCTCTGTCTCTCTTTCTCTGTGTAAATCTGACTTTCAAATTAAAAAAAATAATAAAAATAAAAATTAAAAAAATCAAATCTTTAAAAGAAAGAGGAAATGTGCCTGGCACAGTGGCCTAGCGGCTAAAGCCTTACATGCACTGGGACCCCATGTGGGTACCGGTTCTAATCCTGGCAGCCCCGCTTCTCTTGCAGCTCCTTGCTTGTGGCCTGGGAAAGCAGTCGAGGATGGCCCAAGGCCTTGGGACCCTGCACCAGCGTGCAGGGTCCAAAGCTCCTGGCTTTGGCTCGGCTCAGCTCCAGCCTCTGCAGCTGCTTGTGCAATAAATCAATGGACAGAAGATCTTTCTGTCTCCTCTCTGTATATCTGAGTTTCCAATAAAAATAAATAATCTTTAAAAAATAAAAAAGAAACAACTTTTCTACAAAAGACTCAAGAACATTTATCATGGGGAAAAACAGACCTGTTCAATGTGTCATCTATTGCAGTGTAATTACTTATCCCAAAATTTTATGTCACAGAAGCTATGGGGCAGGAACTTGGGAGCACCATAGGTCTGATTCAGGGTCTCCTGGGAAGCCAATCAGGTGGCAGTTATTTGAATGTCTGGGGTGAGAAGATCCTGTGGTGAATTCACATGGCTGGCAGGGTACCAGGGCACTTCTCCAAGGACTACTTGGGCATCATCACAATGGGGCAGCCAGCTCTGACCCTTGCTGCCCTAAGCAAGTGGTCTCTGAGAGAGCAGGGCAGAAGTCACGATGCTTTTCATTGTGACTTTTCATGCTTTGATAATCAGACACTGTCATCTCTGCCAAGTCTTACTTCTAAGGCAGAGTTACAGCAATGTTCCATTCCTTGGTTAACTTCTTCTTGGACCAAATTGAAGCCTGGAACTCCAGTCAGATCTCCTATGTGTGTGGGAGTGGCAAAAATACTTGGACCATTCTCTACTGCTTTCCCAAGCTTGTTAGCAGGGAGCTGGGTGGGAAACAGAGCATCTGGGACTTTACCCTCTGTCACTTGTGATGCTGGCATCAGAGGCAATGGCTTGAAGTACTGTCAGTCCCCTGCAGTATCTTGTTGATTATATAAAGCAACATGCTTCAGGGTGGGAGGACAACACAGGGCACAATTGCCAGTAAACAAAGGTCCCTGGGGCCATCTTGGAAACATTGGGGCATGTTTTTGTAGAGTTCACTTGCAGGCCTATGCTGGGCACTGAGGATGATGTAATCAATGGCCTGGAAGATGTGAAATCCGAGAGCAACAGCAGGGGGCAGCCCAGAGCAACAGCTAAACTGACACCTGAGGTGTAGAGGCTGGTTGGCCATATGAAGAGGAGAGTGGTGTGTTCCAAGTGAAAAACTGAGGGGAGGTGGTGCAGGAAAAGTAACAGCATGAATGAAAGCCTGGTGGGAAGGGTGGAACAGAACTGAGGAACCAGCAGAGGCTGGGCCTAACCACCCAGGACCTTGTACGGAGAGAGTTTGTGTGTATCCTGTGGACAGGAGGTAGCCATGGGGCTGGTCACATGACAGCAGGCACAGGGTCTGGGCTCCAAGGGGCAGCATTCTCAACAACCCCCCAGGAACAGCCAGCTGGCAAATGAAGGACTGAGCAGTGGGAAGCAATGCACAGGAGGAACTGGGTACACCCCCAGAAAGTGGCATATGGTGGCCAAGAGCACATCTCTACTTTCAGATGGGAGAGCCAGCAGACTGTAACCGCGGGATGCAAATATTAGCCATCTGCACCACCAGCAAACTCCTGCTCAAGACAACTGCTATGAACAGATGACTATCTTCACCCATGGTTCTCCCAAGCTTCCCCTGCCCTGTTTGGGGTCCGCTCTTAATTCAAGGTGGGGCCACGCTCAGGCTGGGAGACGCTTGGGTGGTGCTGTATTCTCTCGCTGGGTGCTGACAAAGCAGCCTGCTTTCTGGAGCCTGCGAGGCCAATGGTTGAAGAGGAATGGGCTGGGGGAGGAGAGTGCTGGGAGTCAGGTTTTGTCTGCAGTCATGGAGGAGCCACCAAAAGAATTTCTTTTCCTTCCTTGCTTTTCTTTTCTTTTTTTTAAAGTTTTATTTTATTTTCATTACAAAGTCTGATATACGAGGGGAGGAGAGACAAAACGGAAGATCTTCTGTTTGATGATTCACTCCCCAAGTCGCCCCAACGGCTGGTGCTGTGTCGTTCTGAAGCCAGGATCTGGGAGCTTCTTCCAGATCTCCCACGTGGGTGCAGGGTCCCGAGGCTTTGGGCCATCCCTGACTGCTTTCCCAGGCCACAAGCAGGGAGCTGGATGGGAAGTGGAGCTGCCGGGATTAGAACCGGTGCCCATATGTGATCCCAGTGTGTTCAAGGCGAGGACTTTAGCTGCTAGGCCGCGCCGGCCCCTTGCTTTTCTTTTTCTTTCTTTTCTTTTCTTTTTTTTTTTTTTTTTTTTAAGAATTCTGCTAGGAAAAGCTGAGAAGAGTTTCCCAGACTAAAGGGAACGGTTTGAACAGAGGAGCAGGGGTCACAAGCCACGTGGGGTGGACAGTGCACCTGCAAGCGGTTTGGGAAGGAGGCGTGGCAGGTGATGAGCTCCTTGGGCTTTTTTCCTTTGTTAGAAAAGGCTTAGCGACCGTTGGCACAAAAGGACACCTCAGCGTTGCGGATCTGAGAGGAGACGGCCCGGGCAAGAAGTGGCGAGCGTCCATTGGTGACCCCACTAACCGCACTGGGAAGAAAGGCCTGGGGCGGGGAAGGCGGGGCTGGCAATAACGTGGAACACCGGCGTGCGCACGCGCAGCATCCCGGGCGGGCGTTTGCCAGAGGCTGACAGTCGCGCATGCGCCCTTCGTTGGCGGGAGTTTCGGACGCCGCGGCGATGACGTAGACGGCGGGCTCTCCACCGGACTCACACCTGGGAGGACAGCGGCCGCGGCTCAGGTAGTCAGGGTGAGCTGGAGCCGCGGAGAGAGTGGGGGTCCTGCGGTCCTGCACCCCGCGGCATGGACGGGCGTCTCTGTGAGGACAGGAAGTCGCTGACCTCTCTCCGGGTGGGCGCCCGCTCGCCCCGCGGCAGCCAGCTTGCTTTGACCGTGGCTGGACCCGCCGGCACTGGGGCTTGGGCTGGGTGGATAGAGTGCTACGACCTCCTCTGGAGTGAAAGCAAACCCCGAGGGCAGGGCACGCCTTCGGTCCATGCGGGGAGTGGGCAGTTTAGACGCTAGGAAAAGTCGAAAGGGAGTGGTCACAGGGCTGGCTGGGTTCGAACGTCACTCTTCCCCCGCCGGCTGGAGGTGTGACAAGTTTGGGTTAGGCCTGGTGCTTCCCTGTGGGCCTCGGGCACCTGGTCTGCGAAATGTCCCCTGTCAAGAGTGGTAGAGAGGACTAGACGGGGTCTTGGAGATGCAGATCAAGGGCTTTAACCAGTCACCCTTCTTAACTGTCCAGGTGGGACACAGCCGTTGGGGCTGAGGATGTTGTTTTCTTGATGGGTCTTAGTTCTAGTCCCTTGTCCCTCAGCTAAACGCCCCACACACCAGTTTCTGCTGGGAAGGAAGGGTGGTGGCTGAGTGGTGATGTCCCTGCTTTCATCCAGTCAGTTGTCTTCCACAGGCACAAGGAATGCAAATGCAGTGGGATCAGGGGGCGGAGGCAGCCATGTCAACATTGGACAGCTGGTACTGCTAGGGAAACCAACTGGGCCTACAGTTACCTGCAGAGGAGTGGGGAAGAAAATGTTAGATACCCACTGGTGCTGCAGGCTGAGGATTAATACGCTGTGCCACCAAGCCAGCCCAGAGAAAACTCTTAAGCCACATCATGCAGGAAGAGTTGTACAAATAATAAGGGGGCGTCAGAATGTTGGTGGGGAAATGGGATTTTTAAAAATTCAGTTTATCTTGGTGTGGCAAAGAATGTAAACCCCGGAGGTGTTTTTTCCCCCCAATAACATACATTCTTTATCAACTTTTTGGAAACCCCCACCCCACCCCGCCAACCCTGTAGAAGGAGGACAGATGGGTTCCAAGATTCCAGAGTAGCCAAGGGAACAGGAGTTAGCAGGAGTATGGAGGTGGCTAGGTTAGGAGCAGCCTAGGAGAGAGGGTGTGTGAGCGTTGGAAAGGCCTCTGCCTCTAGAAGGGGAAAGTTGGATGCAGGAAAAGTAGTAGAGAGAACAGAGAATGGGGGGGAAGGATGGGGCAGAAATGAGGAGACCTGAACTTAGCTGGGAGAGAAAGCAAGGCCTAGAGATCCTGGGAGTAGAACAGGTAGGATTTGGGGTCCGGAGAACCCGGAACAATGAGTAAAAGGACCACGTTGTGAGTTTTGTAGTTTGGGAAAGATCAGATTGATCATAAGGCGATTGTCCGAGTTAGAGACTTGTCCAGCACTGCTTGGGACATGAGGTAGGGGTACTGATAAGAGGAATGAGTTTCCTAGCAGTTCTGTGGGAATTCCGAGTCAGAGCTGCTCTGTAGAGGGGGTGGGTGAGGACGTTTTGGGGGAACCTGGAAAGCCGGATGCAATGGGAGCTGAATGAAAAGGACAGATGACCCCTTTTTCTTGTTTTCAGAGTTCTCCACTCAGAATGGCTTCAGTGGCGAGATCAGAGGTGGTAGAAGGTGAGTGATTGTAGGGAAACCCCAGCCTTGGGGTCTAGCTCCTGGCCAATTTGGAATCACCCATCGTGTGTTTGTAGAAATGCTTTCTTGGCTTTCCGGGATCTGAGAACATCCTTGTGCATTTTATTTTTTCACCTTTTTACTCAAGAACTTGATTGTGGTGGGTTTGATTTTTGTTTTGTTTTGTTTTGTTTTAATGACAAACACTAGAAGAGGTGCCAGTGACGTCTGATGTCCGTCCTCGTCCGTTGGAATCAAGTGTCAATCCCACGGAAGTGGTTGCCGAGTCAGCTTCCTCCCAGGAGGTGAATCAGGATGTTTCCAAGGAAAGAATTCATCCTGGGTCTAGCCCTGAAAAATGGTCAAGTGGCGACCTCAGCCGCCAGGAAGGCCTTCAGTCAGAGTTCCTGCACCTGTCCCCTCAAGAGCCCTCATCTTCCTCTCGTCAAGCTAGGAGACAGTCCTGGCGGCGATCAAGTATGAAGGGAACGAACCGGCGGAAGTCCCTGGCCCCGTTTCACCAGGGCATCACAGGTGGGGTGCTGGGTGCCTAAGGCAATGCAGTGCCAGCTCGGCAAAGAGGCAGTGAGAACCAGCAGGAAGTGTGGAGAAGCTCTGTGTCCTCGTGTTTGAAGTAGAGCCAAGACCACCTGCATGCAGGGATGTTCTAAGTGCTGATGTCAAGGCACCTAGGAAGAGTTCAGTGTGGTTGCTATGGAGATCATTACTATTAGCTGGCATGAACAGAAATTCTGATTTCTGATTGTTCACTATTTGCCTCCGCTGGTAGGAGAGGCATTAATAAAAAGTCCTTCCCAAGACTTTGTGCCTTGTCCTCCTCTAATGCAGGACAGAAGGCGGAAGCTTGGTGCCTGGTTAGCCTTCAGACGTGGAAGCATCTCAGTGGGAGGCCTCATGTAAAAATAGAGTGAAAAGCTGGTTTTTCAGGGATGCTGTATCTGAATGTGACTTGTGGGAGTTAGAGTTACTAACCGTCTTGGAAAGCATCCAGATGCTGCGTAGGATGTGGAAGGCCTGGTGTAGCCCGGGGAGGAGGTGCTGCTGTGCGACCCTGAGCAGGTCTCTTCTCTGCCGTGGTGGCAAGGGCCTCATACATGTGAGTGAGGCGGTGTCTCACAGGGTTGTGTGTGCAGTAGAGTTGACGTGCAGTATAATACTTGGCACATAGGAAGCATTCAAAATGCTAAACGGCTGTCATTACTGTAAAAGTTGTCTACATTTATTATGAAGAGAAGCAGAGAGCTGCCATCTGCCACTGCTCTCAGTGACCGGGGCTGGGACCAGGAGCCAGGATTTCAGTCTACCTCTCTCATGTTGAACTTGAGGCATCATCACTCTTCCCCGGACCCCCAGGGCCCTGTGTGGGCAGGATGCTGGAGTCAGGAGCCTGGTCTAGGGATTGAACTCCAGGCCCTGTCATGGGGAGTGTGCTGTCTCAGCTGCAAGTGTTGCCTCACTCATAAGCAGTCTGAAGGACAACAGGACATCTGGGTAATAAAACATACTGAGCTGCTGTCATGGTGCCCTGTACTTTTTCCTTGATACGTGCCAAGAAAACAGTAATAATTCTCCCAAGACTAGCCCTGCCTTCATTTGCTCTGCAGAGCATTTGGAGTTAAATGTCTATGTAACAGAAAAAAGTCGCCCATGTAATGAGATTGGTTTTTCTGGCCACCTGCCAGGTTTCCTTGGTTATAGACAGGAAGTTTCCTGTTTCTGGACTGTTAGCATTGAGAATTAGTCCTGGAGAGAAGAGAACCTTTAAAAACAGCCAGCTGGAACTAGAGAGCAAAACAACATGAATTCTCTGGAAATTGAATCCTCAAAGCAGTGTTCCTCTGCCGTGTAGTAATTGTTTTTAAATGGACATGGAGAGAACAGTCTACTGTCTCGGAGTTGTCTGAGGACTCAGTGGTATAGTCGTGGCTCGTCCCTGCCCAGATCAGCTGCATCATGTGCTAGTTGGCCTCTGGCAAGCTGCCTATTCCCCAGCCTTTGTACAATCAAAATGGAGCTGCAAGATCCCTGCCCCAGGTAGATGGGGCATTCAGATGCCCTTCTGTCAAAAGCGCTTGGCACATATTACTTGTTATTAATCTTCCTATTAAGCCGTTAGGAAGAAGGAGCATGGTCTTTCAGATAAATACTCAAGAGCTCGAATACTCAAATACTCAGGAACTTGGGGCTGAATTCTGGCTCCAGCAATCTCTGACCTCAAATCATTTTCCCTCAGAGCTTCAGCTTCCTCATTTGTAAAATGGAACTCAAAAGTTGATGTCTTTAAAAGCACACTTCAGTGTCTGCTCAAATGTCCCCATTTTCTTCATTTGAATGGTAAACATGAGTCATCACAAAGAAACTGAATTATTTTTATTTGTCTTCTTTTAAAAAGTGATGTTTTATGTAATGCATGAATTCCTATAGCATTTCTTAAAAATTTGGATGCACCAGTAGGTAGACTATATCTCAATGATCCTGGAAAAATTAGAATTTTCCCCTTATTCAGAGAAAGGTGCTTCTGGCCGTAACTGGGCCTGCCTCAGGGAGGACAGTTTTCAGTCTTGTTCTTGGCCGACTGTGTGAGTGTCTGCCTCAGTAACCGTGGCCTGTTCTGTGTTAGAGCTCAGCAGATCCATCAGTGCCAGCCTGGATGAGAGCAAGCGGCTCGGCTGTCTCCTGCGCTCCAGTTTCCAGGTGAGATGTTTTGGGACCGGGCAGTGCTTTGTGTTCATTCTTCCCTCCCCTCTTTTGTTTAAACAGGTGTTGTAGAGACCTCCAAAAGCTATCAATATTGTGTTCAGAACTCTAAGATTAAAAGATATTTTTCTCCCTGCGATTAATTTAAAAGCCAAATGTTATCCTGGCAGCTGATTTCTTCATGAGTCAAAGTTCTCTCCCCATTCTGTCGGTGCTGCTACTGCTGTTGACCTGGGAGCCAACAGTCAGAGATGTCCCGGTAGAAGTGGATCTTGCCCACTGGCCTCAGAGGGAGGCCTTTTGAAGTGGGTGGAGGTGACACAAGCTGGCGACAGGTCTGTAAAGTCTTATCACACACTGACTCAGAGTCCGATCTCTGGTGTTTAGTTCAAGTTATGGCTGACTGGCATAGTGGGCCCTGCAGTCCTAGAACTTGCTCATCTACAGATGGCACTAAGTATAAATCACAGGTATTAGGGGAAAAGTTGCTTCTGTACTGACTGTTCAGACCTCTATTATTATTGCTAAACAATAAACTGTGTAAGCACCCTGTTGTGGTGGTGACTTAGGTTATATGAGAGGACAAGCATAGATTTTACACAGACACAGTGCCGTGTGGGGGTAGGGGTTGCAGGGCATCCTGGAGCCAGTATCCTGTGGGTATTGAGGGGTTACTGCGCTGAGGTCCGTGTAGCTGAACAAGTCTTTAGTGTGAATTAGATGGTCTTCTGAACCAAAAACCATAATGTGTAGTCTGAGTAGCAAAGGGTTTTTTTCTGATCTCTTTGTTCACAATAAAGAAAATCCTAGGCTTAAAAATTAAATCCTGTTGGGTGTGATATTTTTTACCCATTGTAAAGTTAGGCTGGCCTGGAATGTTGTCACTGTCACACTGGAGCTGCTCTTCCTTCTGTAGTTCGCTGTTGAGAAGCTTGAGCCTTTCCTGAAGGACACCGAGGGCTTCAGTCTGGAAAGTTTCAGGGTGAAAGGTGAGTAGCTTCCCTAACAGCCGAGGGCAGGCTGCTCCTGAGCTGTCCCCTCCCTGCAGGTCAATTCAGCTTAGCCGGAAGCACCCTCATGCATGGGGGCGACTGCCTTGTCAGACCACCTCCTGGTGCTGGTGAATTGGTTTATAAGAATATTGAAAGGTATGGAAGTGAAAGGCAATCCTTGCTTTCAAGCCTCCCTGAGTCCCAGCTTCTCCCACAGGCTACAACAACCAGTTTCTCATGTAACCTTGCAGACATATTTATTCCTTTCCCAAACATTCATTACATTCATACAAATACAGGGGCCAGAACAGTGCATCCCATACAGATGCTAATTTAAGTTCCTGCTGCTCCAGTTCCGCTTCAGCTCCTTGCCTTTGGCTTTGGAAGGCAGCAGAGGATGGACCAAGTGCTTGAACCCTGTACCCACTTGGGAGACCCAAAAGCTTCTGGCCTCAAACTGGCTCACCTCTGGCTGTTGGGGCCATGTTAGGAGTGAACCAGCAGATGGAAGAGCTCTTTCTTTCTTCTCTCCTTCTCTCTGTAAATCTGCATTTCAAATAAAAATGAAGTAAAAAACAAACAAACAAGAAACATTTAAAGGGCCCAGTGTGGTAGTCTAGCAGCTAAAGTCCTCACCTTGCATGCACCGGGATCCCATGGGGTGCCAGTTCTAATCCCCAAGGCCCCGCTTCCCATCCAGCTCCCTGCTTGTGGCCTGGGAAAGCAGTGGAGGACGGCCCATGGCTTTGGGACCCTGCATCTGTGGTGGACCCAGAAGAGGCTCCAGGCTCCTGGCTTGGGATTGGCTCAGCTCTCACTGTTGCAGGCACTTGGGGAGTGAATCAACTGATGGAAGATCTTCCTCTCTGTCTCCCTTCCTCTCTGTATATCTGACTTTGCAATAAGAATAAGTAAATCTTTTTAAAGAATCATCTGAAAATTATATAAACATGTACCCTGTGTACTTTTCCTTAAATTGTTAGGTTAAAAATCCTGCAGCTTATTTCTTCTCACACAAAGTTGTGACATTTTGGTAGTTACATAGGAAGAATTGTACAAAGAGGAGAGATGGAGAGATCTTCCATTCGCTGGTTCACTCTCCAGATTGTAACACCCAGAGCTGAGCCAGTCTGAAGCCAGGAGCTAAGAGCTTCAGCCAGGTCTCCCACACAGGTGCGGGGAGACGAGTCATCTTCAGCTGCTTTCCCAGGTGCATTAGCAGGGAGCTGGATGGGAAGCAGAGCAGTAAGGACTCGAACCATATCTATCCATTTCTTTACTGTGACTTTTAGGCTTTTTCCCCGTCTGTTGCCATTGCCGTGAATAATTTAGTCATGGTAATAACAAAAGCTTTTTGGCACATTTACAAGTAAAAGTAAGATAAATTTCTGGAATTGGTTTGCCAGTCGCCTTCCTAAAAGATGGGATCAGTCCATTCTCTCCCTGGCAATATTTGTCTCACCTTCTTATCAGACTTTGTAATTTTATTACTTGATAGGTGATATAGAAGATATGTTATAGTTTTAATTTTTTTAAGGTTTTATTTGAAAGGCTGATTAGAGAGCTATCTTATGCTGGTTTACACTGCGAATGACCACAATAGCCAGGATGGGGCCAGACAGAAGCCAGGAGCTTGGGACTCCTGGGTCTCCCACATAGGTAACAGGAGCCTGGTAAGTGCTCAGGCCTTCCCACTGTGCCAGGTGGGTGAGCTGGCAGCTGAACCACACTCACAGGTGGCCCAGGTTGGCAGGTGGTGGCTTGATCCACCATTCCACATGCTACCTATCCTCTGGAGCTTTTTTGTTTGTTTTTAAAAACTTTTTCTTATTGGCAAATCAGATATACAGAGAGGAGGAGAGACAAAAAAGAACTTCTGTCCACTGATTCATTCCCAAGTAGCCACAATGGTTGGAGCTGCACCAATCTGAAACCAGGAGTTAGAAGCCTCCTTTAAGTCTCCCACACGGGTACAGGCTCCCAAAGCTTTGGGCCATCCTCTACTACCTTCCCAGGCCACAAGCAATGAGCTAGATGGGAAGCATCGCCTCTAGGATTTGAACCGGTGCCCATATGGCATGTGTAAGGCAAGAATTTTAGTTATTAGTCTACCGTGCTGGTAGGCATTTTCATTTAATACATACTTTCTACTTAAAGATTTATTTGTTTTTATTGGAAGGGCAGATTTACAGAGAGGAGAAACAGAGAGAAAGATCTTCCATGCTCTGGTTCACTGCCCAAATGACTGCAGTGGCTGGAGCTAAACTGATCTGAAGCCAGGAGCCAGGAGCTTCTTTGTCTCCTACTCGGGTGCAGAGTCCCAAGTTTTTCAGCCATCCTCCACTGCTCCCCTGGGCTATAAGTAGGTAGCTGGATCAGAAGTGGAGTAGCCAGGGCTCCACTTTATAACCTGACGCATATAAAGGATCCAGGCACTTGGAAATGAAGGACTAGCTTTTTTTTTTTTTTTAATAAAATTTTATTTTAACATTCTTTACATAGTTAATTAGGGTAAGAATGTTCAAGGGCTATAGGAAAGTGGATAAGACTAGTATGTTTTCCATATTGTTACCTTCATGTTTAAAGGGGGGTATTAAGGGAGAAGGCCCACCCAATTTCCCACCCTCCCCAGGTCCTGGATGTAGGGCATGCTCTGAGGTTCTTGCTCAAGTGGTTTTGATATTGCCACAGTTATGAATCGCTGTCAATCTTGCCACTCCAAGCACTATGCGGTCTTTGAAGAATCCACTGATTGACATAGTCCACCATAGCGGAGATGGTTGGTTGACCTGTTCCGTCTTCTCTCCTTTTCGTCAGGGTTCTGAGTCCAGCATTTGATTAGGAAGATCTCCAAAGAAACTTCTTGTATGTGCTAACAAGTACAGGGCCTGGCACCGTCCATCGCTCCAATCAGCTGGTGGTTGCAATTGCTGGGTTGGTTCTGTTCTCACTCGGACTTCCGCTGGAACCAATGGGTGTTGCAGTCCAGCCTGGTTCTGCCCAGCACATACTTGGCCCTCACATAAACCAGTGGGAGCTGCAGCCTAGTTGGAGCGACCCACAATAACCCCCACCAGGCCCACCCCCTACCCTGGTTTGCCAGTAAGTGTAGCAGTAATCCAGTCTGTCCCACACCCCATTCCACCCCAGCCGCTATCTTAGTTTTATGTCCTCCTGTGGAAGTGGTGACCCAAGAGGGATGAGCCCACTATTTCCCTCCCAGGCCTCTCCCACTCCCAGATTCCAGCTGATGCTGCGTCTAAGCCCAAACAACCCTCGCCCACTTTAATTTTGTTTGCACCAGTAGGAATAATCCGCCCAGCCCGGCTTTTCCCTGATCTAGTCCACATGAGGCGCACAGGTGTGGTAGCTCTGCCTAGTCTGGTCTGCCCCCATCCCAGCTCATGCTCTCCTGCGGAAGTAGCTGTCCTGCAAAGGAACCCTCCCTTATTCCCCTGCCAGCTCTGCCCACTTCCTTGCTTAATCTCAGGCTGGTTGGGCGCTGCGGTCCCTTCTGGTACAGGCAACCTCACCTCGGCATTCCATATTGTGCACTAGTCTTTGTTGCGACCGAACCTGGGTCGACCCACACTGGTGCCTGGATTTGCCAGTGGATGATGTGGACAGATTCAGCCTGGTCTTGCCCCCACGTCTGCCAATTGTATGCCAGTGTGTAGCTTTCCATAGGACTAGCATTTGAGCCATCGCTCCAGGCCCTTCTTTGGTTATTTTTTGAGCCATTTGTTGCTTGTTTTCTGTGTATTACCTGTGTTTATCCTTTGTTCATTTATTGGGACACTGGCTCTTTTATATTGACTTGTGGCATATATACTCTTTATATCATAAAGAAATTAGTTGTTTGTGTTAGAACTTATAGTATTCTTTTCCAGGAATCAATTTTTAGCTTTCTAGGAGATATTCCTGCATAGTCATCCATTGTCAGAAACATCCAGGTTTCCCCACTTAAACGACACAGATCGAAATAGTTTTTCTCAGGTTGTACCATTCCCATAATTAGGTACGTCAGGGTTATCATGATAGCTAATTCATGTAACTGCACCCCTCTGATCTTGAGCTGAGTTTACTGGTGGACTCTCGGGGCCACAGAGACCTGTCCTCACCTCTCCTTGTAATGTGTTACCTGCCTCTATTGGTTCTCCCTGCCCTGCTGCCTGCCTTGGGCAGCGTCTTCTCTTCCAGGCCAACAGTTCCTTGGCACAGAGGCACTTGTCAGTGTAGATTTGCTTCTTGGTGGCTTTTCCACTGGTCAGACAGAAAAACACTTCTTGTAAATGTCAAGAAAAGAGGTTGCCTCACATCTTATCTGTACTTGCCAGAGAACAAAAGATGCAGTCTCTCTGCCTGCTTAGCCAGCTGGGGAGCCAGAATGCAGTGGTGGGCCCAGAACTGAGACCACCTTCAGGACGTTGTGTCTCTGTCAGTATCCCCTTGTGAAGGCTGCATTATTTTATAACACATAAACTTATTGTCTCCAGTGTCTTCTCTTTCCGAAGAATTGAAACAGTTCACAGACAAACTAGAAAGTGATGGGACTCTACAAAAATGTTTTGAGGATTCACAAGGGTAAGAGCACTTCCTTTTGTTTGTTTGAAAGTCGATACTCTGCTGCTTCACTTCCCAGTTGACCACAATGGCCAGGGCTGGGCCAGGCTAATACCAGGAGCTGGAAGCTTCCTACAGGTCTCCCAGGTGACCCATGACTTGGGTCACGTTCTACTGCTTCTCCCAGGATATCAGCAGGAGGGCCTGGTGGCATGGCCTAGCAGCTAAAAAGTGCTCGCCTTGAATGTGCCAGGATCCCATATGGGCGCCGGTTCTAGTCCTGGCAGCTCCACTTCCCATCCAGCTCCCTGCTTGTGGACTGGGAAGGCATTCGAAGATGGCCCAATACTTTGGGATCCTGTACCCATGTGGGAGACCTGGAAGAAGTTCCTGGATCCTGGCTTCAGCCCGGCACAGCACCGACTGTTGCGCTCACTTGGGGAGTGAATAATCAGACGGAAGATCTTCCTCTCTGTTCTCCTCCTCCTCTGTATATCTGACTTTGTAATGAAAATAAATAAATCTTTAAAAATAAAAAAGGATATCAGCAGGAAGCGGGATCAGAAGTGTGACAGCCAGGACGCGAACTGGCACTGGTAGCTTTACTGCTATGCCACAAAGCCAGCCTCACAGCTTTTATCTTCTGTCCTCAGTTGCAGTTAAATTGAGCCCAATGAGAATTAAACACTTGTTGATTCACCCAACAGCCAGCGAGCATCACCTCATGCTGGGGTATGGTGATATGTTCAGCATTGTATAGAGAAGACATCAAATCCAAAAGAAATAATGATTTCAGGTAGCAATAGGAATCCAGAAGAACAGTGCTGACCTGAGGAGATGTCAGTTGGAGGTTAAATGTACAGAGACCTTTAGTGGTTTTAAGCTTTGTGTTGAGACAAAGAGAACTTGGAGCAGGACTTGGCCAGAAAAGACAAAGGGTGATTCAGGTCTGTGTCAGCCACCTGGTATGAGAGACCTGCAGAACTATCAGCATTGCCCAATTGGTGGTTCCTCCAGAAGGTCAATCAGGCACCAATATTTGTCCTGCCAGTAATTGGGGATTACATAAAAAAAAAAAAAAGACAACCCTAAAACGGAAAGCTGAGGAGTCGGGAGGCCCCTGGGGCAAGGGCCCAGGGAGCCCTGCTCCGGCACCAGACGTGGCTGCAGGGTCCCCAGTGTTGCTGTTGCTACGAGGTCGAGGGCAGCGATTCTCGCTCCTTTTCCTCTTTCCCCTTATCTCTGTACCATTCAATTAAATGAATACATTTTAAATAAGTAAGTAATATGAACATGTTTTAGTGTCATTAAACTTGCACAAAGCCTATTAAAGGCACATGCTTTTAAAGATTTGTGTTAATCTCCTAATTCTCTTATTTTTCGTTTTGCAGAAAAATGTCAGATTTATCTCTGGAGACTTCAGTGGCTGAGATGAAGGAATATATAGCAAAGTAAGTGAAAATGAGTGTGTGGTTTTTTTTTTTTTTTTATCTAAATTCATTCTCCATCTGGTAAAATGACTAAACATGGATAAAATTAATAGTAAACATTGTGCTTCAAAAGCAAAAGTTAGCAAGCTTTGTGTCAGGTGGCCAGCATTGTGAAACAGAGGTCAAATCAGCCATCTGCAGTGCTGGCATCCCATATGGGTGCTGTTTCTAGTCCTGACTGCTCCATTTCTGATCCAGATCCTTGCTAATGGCCTGGAAAAAGCAGTTGAGTATCTCTGAACTCTTTCTAAACAAATGCATCTTAAAAAAAAGAAAAGATCTGTGTATAAAAGAAGGCTCTAGGCCCGGCGTCATGGCCTAGCAGCTGAGGTCCTCGTCTTGAACGCACCAGGATCCCATATGGGCACTAGTTCTAATCCCGGCAGCCCCGCTTCCCATCCAGCTTCCTGCTTGTAGCCTGGGAAAGCAGTCCAGGACGGCCCAAAGCCTTGGGATCCTGCAACTGCATGGGAGACCTAGAAGCTCCGGGCTCCTGGTTTTGGATTGGCTCAGCTCTGGACTGTTGCAGTCACTTGGGGAGTGAACCATCGGACAGAAGATCTTCCTCTCTGTCTCTCCTCTCTGTATATCCGCCTTTCCAATTAAAAAAAAAAAAGCAACACTTTAGACTGTGGGTTAATAAAGATGTATCTCAAGTGTAAGAATTTGGACAGAGAATCTTCCTCTCTGTATATCTGACTTTGCAATAAAAATAAACCTTTTTATAAAAATAAAAGAAGCTGTGGATTGAGCTTTTCTTCATTTCTGCGAATTCTTTTAAACAATTGGCATTTGTTGATTTTTTTTCTTTTTTAAAGTTCCTATTTTCACATACCTGAAAGGCGACACTCCATTGTGGGAAATGGGCATCCCAAGCAGCAGCTTTCCCCTGTGCCCACCCACATGTCCAGATCGCTGTGTGCTCTGCTGCATGCCAGGTTCACAGAATGGAACCTAGGGAATAAGGACGTGCGTTTGATTTTAAGCACTCATTTTGATTTGCTCAAATTAATAGCCTCTGAATCAGCTATGCTTTCTAATCCTTTAATGACCTTTTTATTTGTTTTATACCCAGATTATATGCCTAATGTGCTTACTGTTGCCCTGAGTGATTCAGAATGAGGTGATCAGCTAACTTTTCCCCTGATTCTGTAGATTTTCTTCAGAACGCGAAACATGGGATCAGCTCTTGCTGCACTACCAGAAGGATGCTCAGGAGACCGTATCCAGGTTAGATGTGGGCTCTGGAAATGGGAAACTCTTTTTACCATGTGGGATTGAGCTTCTGTTTAACTCCGTTCTTTGAGCCCAGGCTGCATGATGAATTCCTTTTCACAGGCCAGTCAACTCGTCAGGAAAGTGTAGATTAGCACTCTGACCATAAATGGTCAACGAGGGAGAAGTCAGAGCGAGCTGCTGCCACTGGTGTCAGAACAAGAACAGGATTGTCTCTGTTCTGTGTCCTTGGCAGCTGTGTGACATCCTGGAGGAGACAGGCGCATCTCTGCTTGTGCCTGGCAACCTGAGACTGCGTCAGAACAATGGTCTGGGGACTCTAACGACAGTGTGGCCTTTGAGCTGCTGCTCTGGGATGACACCCCTGGCCAGAGCCTTGGTGGAGACACAAATACAGGCAAGGAAGCGATGGGGAAGGGTGTAATGAGAGGCTGCTCGGCTGTTGAAATGATGCAGCTATGGCTGTGCCAGCTTTTCGTGTAGCTGAATGTGCACACCGGTGGTTGAAGCTTTAAGATTTCTTCCTTCCTTCCATCCTTCTTCCTCTCTTCTCCCTCTGCCTCCCCTCCCCTTTCCTTTCCTCCTCTATGTCTTTTACATAGAATACAAATAAATAAAAATTTATGAAAAACAAAGCTTTTATGCTAAGGAGAATATTTCTGAAAGCAAATTGTCTCTGTTTAGCTCGTAACTGAACACTCCTTAGTTTTGTGACTTTGAACATGCCTCCTGGTTCTGAGTCTGAGGGTCTTCATTTGAAAATAAGGATAATATACTTCACTGTGTTCTTGTGTTAAATGAGCTTGAATGGGGTCTGGCACAGTAGCCTGGTGGCTAAAGTCCTCGCCTTGCATGCACCAGCATCCCATTTATGTCCCGGTTCTGGTCCTGGCTGTTTCACCTCACTTCTAGCTCCCTGCTTGTGCCCTGAGAAAGCTGTCAAGGATGGTCCAAAGCCTTGGGACCTTGCACCTGCATGGGAGACCCAGAAGGAGCTCCTGGCTCCTGCAAAGCAGCTCAGCTCCAGCTGTTTCGGCCCCTTAGGGAATGAACCAGCAGACGAAGGATCTTTCTGTATATCTGCCTTTCTAATAAAAATAAATAAACCTTTTTTTAAAAATGACCTTGAATGGAAAGTGCCTAATCATGTCTAGCCCCTACTAAACACTTGTTGGTAAATAGTGGAAGTTGTTGTAAGAGTTATTACGAGTTTTCATGAACTCCATTCTCTTTCATCATCAAGATAATTGAAGGGGACATCATTTCTTTGTAAATCATGACAGACATCAAGTTCAGAATAGAAGCTATGGTGGCCTCACTTTACCGCTGCGCCCTTTCTGTCTAAGGACTTCATTGTTACGTAAGGTCAACCGAGTTTCCAGTATTTCCTCAGTACAGTGATATGAAAACATCAATACTAGAAGCATGTTTTAGAGCCTCTTATTAATAAAAGTCTATAGATTTATGGAAAGGTAAGACATTGATTCAAGCTCATAGGAAATTATTTTAAAGGGAATATTTGCTGTGAGGAATTTTTGGTGCAGTGTTTGATACGTCTGCCTCCCACTCATGTCAAGGTGCCTGGGTTCAGGTCCTGGCTTGCCCTCCGATTCCCTCTTCCTGCTAATGTGCCTCTTGGAGTGCAGGTGATGGCTTAGGAACTTGGGGCTGTGCCACCACGTGAGAGATTGAGATGGACTTCAGGGGCTTGGCTTCAGTCCTACCCTGCCCTGCCTGTTACAGGCATTTACGTGAACCAGTGGATAGAAGATCTGTCTGTCTTGGTCTCTTGCCTTCCAAATAAAATGAAAAGTAATAAATTAAGGCAATCTTTAATGGAATCTTGGATTTTATTTTTTTAAAGAGGATCAACTGAAAGCAAAATTACTGAAGTCAGAGTGGATGCTGCGGCATATCTTGGGTCTTCGCAGAGTGAAGTTCTCAATTCAAAACCCGACTACCAAAACATCCTGAAGGACCAGAACAGAACTGTTGATTGTGTAGAATTGGTGGTAAGTCTCTCATGCTTACCTGCTACTCAGCTTTAATACCCAGTCATCCTTAGAAATTAAAAGCTCAATAGGATGGGTGTTAGTAGTGGGTTAAGACGCTTCTTGGGATGTGTTCTTTCCATAACAGAGCCTGGTTTGAGTCCTGGCAATTCTGCATTTCCAATCCATGCAACTCCCTGGTAATACACCTGGAAAAGCAGCCAAAGATGGTCCAGTGCTTGGAGCCTAGTCATGCATATAGGATCCCTTGGTAGAGATCTGGCTCCTAGTTTTGGCTTGGCCCAGTCCTGGCTGTTGTGGCCATTTGGAGTATGAACTAATGGATGGAGGATTTCGTTCTGTCTCTCCCACTGTGGGCAGAGTTCATGGAAGGTGCCAGGTTTGTGTTGGTGGAGGTCTGTGACCTTGGGGTCATGGAACAGCCTGGGGAAGTATGGGGCTCTGGTGGAGCAGACATCAAGTGTGTGATGCAGTGTTTGAGGCTGAGATGACATAAGCCCAGGCTCCCAAGTAGGAGCATGCGAGTGGGCCTGGGAGCCTCGGAGAAGCCTGGCGCTCTGTGGCTCACCACTGCCTTTGGTCTGCAGATGGACGAGCTGCAAGGATCCATGTGGCAGCTACGGGCCTTCATGGATGAGAGTACCCAGTGCCTCCAGAAGGTGTCAGTGCAGCTCGGTGAGTGCCTGTCTGGCTGTTGGCTGTGTGACAGCCTTTGGGAGAGCAGAGGGCAGGACCTCTCAGGTGGTTTGTGTTTTTCCCCCAGTATATCGGATGTTGTGGGTATTCTGGGTCAGTGAGAACTTCTTAGTATAAATTTCACAAAAGTACAGTTGCCTGAGAAAAATTGCCCACAAGTATGTTGTGGCTTCAGTGAAATGAGGCTTAAATACCCATTGCCTCATTCCTGTTCATGTTTCATGCATGCACCGCGTAGTGGGCATTGTGTCACAGCTGCTTCTGTTTCTCTAGCCCACCGTTAGGTGCTACACACATCTTCCTTCTCTGTCAGGTGTGTTGTGGTCATAGTAATGACTGCCCTCTGTCAGTGGGATGCCCTTCTGTCACTGGCATAGTGACCACACATTTCAGTTCTCAGTAAATGCAATGTGAATTCAATTGAAACTTATGGGTTGGCTCCTTTCCTCTGCAGAGAAGAAAAGCACGCAACAGTTAGATTCCTCTCCAGCTCGGAAGCTGCTCAAACTTCACCTGCAGAACCCGCTGGCCACGAACTGTTCAGGGCCTCACCAGTGACCTCAGGTGGCCAGAGTAGCCCAGCACCTGGCGGCCTTGTGGCAGGAGATTGCCCTGTTGCTCCTGAGAATAATGGGAAGACTGTGGGACACCTGGTCTTTTTCTGAAAGTGATGAAATTATGCATTCAGAAAAATGCTGTAGAGATCCTTTTCCAAAAATATGCACAATGCCTAAAATTTCTTGTTTTAGGTCACCATGGGAACTACAGGCCCAGTTTCTCAGATATCCTACCTTGTTAGAAATCTTCATCCTGTTCCTTGGTTTTGATGCAATCCAGAGGTCTTAAGGGCCAAGTACAGTGAAACGTTTTAGGGGCTGAGTTGGGCTCTGGTCGTAGAGGAATGAGACTGGTTTTCCGATGCAGCACTGCAGGCGCTCGGAGGTGAGAGGTTGAGTCTCCTCTGCTTTGTTGGGAAGTACTTGTCTCTGTGCAAAGTATCCAGTTAAAGGCAACTCCGTTCATTCTCTGTGTCTCCATATTGTCAGTGCTTTCATTTTTAATGGTTGGTTGGCTGTTAAAATAGCGAATTGGCCTGAATTCTGAATTCATGGCAAGAAGGAGCTCAGTACTGCTCTTAATTGTTCTTTGTGAGTAAGCTACATTGTACAAATGCATGCAAATAAAGCTTTCCCTTGTCTGTCTATGTTTTGAGCATGATAGTTTTTCATTTACTATTTATTTGAGAGAACACACGACTCCTGTCTCTGGTTCATTCCCCATATGCCCTCAGTGGCTCAAGTCTTGGGGCAGAAGCCAGAGACACCTCAGCCCGGATCTCCCGGTGGGTGGCTGACACAAAATTCTGAGCTGTCATTTGCTGTTTTTCAGATACACATTAATAGGAATCTGGGATTGTCAGCAGAGCTGGGATCTAAACCCAGCCACTGATTGTGAGCATTCCAAGTGACAACTGCTGTAGCAAATACCCACCCCATATATGTGAAAACTTTGGAAAGCAGGGAGGGCTTAACAAAATATGATTATTTGTCAATATAAAGTGAACAGTACTGTGGGGTTATGCTTTCATATTTATTATTGAGACATATACTAACTTAAAGTTGCTTATTTTTCTCACGAATGGGAGAAAACTTGTTTCATTGAGTCAAAATCAATTTTAATTTTATTTTATTGGGAAGGCAGAAATACAGAGAGGAGAGACAAGAAACATTTTTTAAGGTTTATTTAATTTTTATTAGTAAGTCAGATATATAGAGAGGAGAGATAATAGAGGAAGATCTCCCATACACTGATTCACTCCCCAAGCAGCCACGGTGGCCGGAACTGAGCAATCCAAAGCCAGGAGCTTCTTCCGGATCTCCCATGTGAGAGCAGGGTCCCAAGGCTTTTGGCTGTCTTCGACTGCTTTCCCAGGCCACAAGCAGGGAGCAGGATGGGAAGTGGGGCTGCCGGGGATTAGAACTATTGCTCACGTGGGATGTCAGGGCATTCAAGGCAAGGACTTTAGTCATTAGGCTACCACACCTGGCCCAAGAAAAAGATCTGTCTGCTGGTTCATGTCCCCTGAACAAAAAAGAAACTCCACGGAAGCTGAATTGGGAAGGAGAGTGCTAAACTGAGCATTTCAGACAAAAGGAGAAACATTTTCAAAGGCTGAAGATGAGAGGCAAAAGTGGAGCGTTCTGGGGGTCTGGGCCTTGGGTTTGGGGGCAGCTTGCAGCTCCCGGCAGTGTGGCAGCTGTGAGGGGTACCCCTGCTGGGCCAGATCCAAGGCTGGGGACTCAGGCCAAAGCCACTGCCAAAAGGCAGTGATGAGTCCTTGGCTTTCTCCAGGCCCAAGAAAGATCTTCCCTAAGGGTGAGTGCACCATGAGGGAACCTTGGGAACTGGATTCAAGTCCTAGCTCCACCTTGTGGCAGGATGAGTCTGAGAAGGGTCTGGACCTTGGGGTTGGGGATGGCTCCCAGCTCCCTGTACTGGCAAATCCATACAGAATCAGGTTTGGGATCATCTCAGATGAAGTTTCTTTGGAGATCCCTCCAACTGAACTGCTGATCTCAGAACTCCAACCATGGAGAGACTATGTCAGCCAGTGGATTCTGAGTGGGTTTCATCGTGATTGGAACGGCGAGATTGGCAGCAATTCAGAACTGTTGAACTATGAAACTGCATGAGCAGGACTCTTGGAGCGTGCCTCACATTGGGGACCTGGGATGGGTGGGAGGCTGGGTGGGGCTTTTCCCTTTCTTTCTCCCCTGACCCCAGATACAGGGAAAAAATGATATTAGTGTGGAAACAATGGTATTACCCATTTTAATAAATAAACAATTTAAAAGTTGAAACAAAAAAAGTGGAGCATTCTGGGATCTTTAACAGATTAGACAGGAGCACCGAGCACCAGTAGAGCGGCGACTTGGAGGAAGAACAAGTGGAAGGTTATTAGAAGTCCTGCACGGGAGGGTCACAACTCATTTTTAAAAGATAGCTGCAGATGCTGTGTGGAAAACAAGGCAGCAACGTGTAGATGTGAGAGCATTAGGCTCCTGCCGTGGGACGTGGGAGGAATGGCAGCTTGTGCTGGGTGTTGGCAGTGGATGAGTGGGGCAGCACTGCCTGTGTTGCCCATGGTGTCTGCAACAAGGTGAGCATATCACCTTTAGCAGTGGTGGTTTGGTACACTGGTTCGGAATCCATTTAGGACATCTGCCTTATCAGAATGCCTAGTTCTCTTGATTCCTCCACTGCCAATCCAGTGCTTCCTAGTAGCATGCACTCTGGGAGGGAGCAGGTTGTTGAGGTCCTGTCATTCACATGAGAGATCTAATTGAGTTCTGGTCCCCTGAGTTTGGTGTAGCCCAGCCCTACTGCTGTAGACATTTGAAAAATGAATCCCGAAGACAAGATTTATCTCACTGTGCCTAAGCAAAAGTAAGGTTGGAAGAATAACAGATTATCAGGCCCAGTGCAGTAGCCTAGTGGCTAAAGTTCTCACCTTGCACATGCTTGAATCCCATATTAGCACTGGTTCTAATCCCAGCAGCTCCACTTCCCATCTAGCTCCCTGCTTGTGGCCTGGGAAAGCAGTCAAGGACGGCCCAGAGCTTTGGGACCCTGCACCCACGTGGGAGACCTGGAAGAGCTTCCTGGATCCTGGCTTCGGATTGGCATAGCATCAGCCGTTGTGCTCACTTGGGGAGTGAATCATCGTATGGAAGATCTTCCTCTCTGTCTCTCCTCTCTGTATATCTGCCTTTCCAATAAAATAAAATAAAAATCTCAAAAAAAAAAAATAAAAACAACCACTTGGCTTCAAGCTGGCCCAGCCGTCACTAATGAAACCATTTAGGGAGTGAGCCAGTGGATGGAAGACTTCCTCTAGCTCATTCAAATGTGTGTGTATATATATTTTAAGCAGGAGTGGTGTTAATTGCTTCCTCTTTTGAGAAGCAGTGTAATACAATGGAAAGAATGTAGAGTTTGCAGGCAATCTTCTTTTCCTCAATTGTGAAATGAGACTCACTTCTCCCCAAGGGTGATTATAACTTTTTCCATTTTATTTGTGATATTATATTGCATTTTTTGTCTATTTGTGTTCAATCTCAAAGGTAACAATTTGGTTTGGGAGCACAGCAATTTAAGCCACTAATTGCCACTCTGACAATCCCATTATCAGAGTTGAGTCCTACCTGCTTGGCTTACGAGCCAGCTTCCTCTGATGTGGCTGGGAAGCCTGCTGAGGATGGCCCCAGTACTTGGATGGCTGCTGTGGGGATAGAGCGCTCTTATGTAGAATTAGAAAAAAAAGTGGACCTTTGGTGATTTCCAGAAAAATTCCACTCCAATGTATGAACTCTTTGTGCTAGTGATTGGGGGTAGAAGTGTGGGGGGGTGTAGCCATTTCAAATATGACTCCTACCACATGCACCAGGTGAAGGGTCAGGTAATGTTATAGATGAGAAGGGAAAAACAATATTGAAAGAGGCCAACTCCCAGATGGGGGGGGGGAGTTGTAACTTACTGCAGTTCAGCTTTGCTTCTGCACTGTGGCTTGGACCTTTGTCTTTACCTTTTCCATGGACCAGGGAAGCAGCTGTCCACACCCAGGGCTTCCCACTGCCGTGTGGAAAATCTAAGGCAAGCTGCTGCCTCCTGGCTTCCATCTGGCTATTGTGGCTTTTGGGGGAGTGAACCAGGAGATAAGAGTGATCTCAATAAAATCAATGCTTAGATGTGTTTTGTGCATTCAATAGCTAAATATGGTGGAACACAGAAAAATAATACTTGTTGGAGTAAGTATTTTATATGCATGCTATTTAGTCCGTACACAGCCTCCTAACACTATTATTACAAATGAGGAACAAAAGCATGGACAGACTTTGTAAGAATCTACCTGAGGAGTTAGGAGACGGTAGCAGTGTGAACGTGAACCAACGCTCGGTGAACGTTATCAAATAAACTGAAGTCACAAAATAAAGGGCAATGCTTGTTTAATATTAGCTTTGCTTTACCCAGTCTGGTTCAGGAATTGTGCTTGGGGACTGGGAATCACGACCACTGGCCTCACATGTTTGTTGACACTTGTTCTATTGGCCGTGCTTTCATCAAAAGGATATCTCACTGTTAGCAGGTTTATTGAAGTAATCGTTCAATAATCTGCTTAGGGGAAGAGTTCGTTTTCTGTACATCCATTCTGCAATTATTTAAATTGTTAGATAACTGGATGTGACAGGGGTCGTGTCACAAACGCCAGGTCCATTTAAGTAAGTCTCCTTCCACCACGTGCCCAGCACCGTGCGAGGCGCCCCCGACTTCGGCTGTCTCCACGTGGGCCTTTAGAGGAGGAAGACAAAACTGCAAGACTGCCTGCGTGAGGACGTGAGGGGACCGTTAGTGCACTGACCGCGGCAGCCCTGATTCACCTTCAGATTCCACCGACCCCCGTAGCAAGAGAAAACTACATCCAAGATGGCGCCACCAGCCCGCTCCAGCGCGGCCACCATCTTTTCTGTAGTTCCCGAAACCGGCGGGAGCTACGCGCCTGCGCGGGCTCCCTGGCTGCCTCAGCGCGCGTGCGCGACCGCAGCGCCTCCCCCGCCCCTCTCGCCGCTGCCGCCGCCGCCGCCGCTGCAGCTTCACTGACGGCGGGTGCCCGCGCCTCAGGTGAGTGAGCGCCTCAGCCCGGCCCCCGGGGGGCGCGCGGCGCCGCATGCGGGGGCGTCTCTCCTCTTCCCGGCTCCTTCCCCGTCTCGTGTGTGCGTCGTGAGGCGGGATGCGGGGGGCCGGCGCTGCCCACCTCCCTCGGGCCCCCGGGAGTCCTCCGCCCCCCGCCAGCTCTCCGGCCCCGGGTCACTCCGGTGCCCTTCGGCCGCTCCCGGGCACCCACCTGCTCGCCTCCCCTCCGGGCGCCGACACCCCGGGCGACGGACGCCCGCCGCGCGTGCGACCCCCTTTTCCCGCTGTGCGGGCGGCGGAGCTCGGTGGGCCGCGGCGGGCTCTTCCTAACACCCGCACAGGCCCGAGACAACAGAGGGCACCGGTTGTCAGGAACCCCCGCGACCACCTTGTGGGGGGTGTGGCCTCTGAGCCCCACTTTACAGCGGAGGAAACTGAGGCACGGAGAGGTCAGGTGCCGTTGCCAAGGTCACGCGTCTGACAAGCGGCACGGCCGGCGCTGAGGCCGGTGTGTTGGGAATTGGATGTGGTACCTTTACCGTTCTTTTTTGAAATGAATTTGTCATCTTGGGAGTTTGGTCTTAGACGTCACTCCGCGCTGGCTGCAGACAGAGCAGGTCTCTTGCTGCTGTCGCGGTGCAGTTGAGATGTTGCTGGCCAGATAATGACCACAGGAGCAGAGACACGAATTACTAAGGGCTTGCTGGGTGCAGGGACCTTACTGAGCGTTTTGTTCAAATTATTTCCCTTAGTACCCCAGGCCTTGCCAGTCTAGGGCTTCTCCCCTCACCCCTTGCAGAGCTGGCCTTCCTCTCACAGGTAGACGGGGTGGGAGTCTCAGGGGCAGGGGTGTCTTGCCCACCTGCATCTGAGCTGCCCCTCCAGCCTGGCCTAGCCTCCCCACACAGTACGCTTCTGGTCTCCTTGGGTTGGCTGGGTTTGCAGGTGACAGAGCAGATTTGGCGAGCACTGGTCTCATCCTGGGACTTCCTGGCTGTGTGCCAGCTGGGCTTGAACATGTTGAGGATTTAAGAGAAAAAGAGAAAGCGTGTTGACCCTCCACTCCCACACCCCTTTGATGCAAAGTCCCAAATGAACAACTATAAAAATATAAAAATAGGGGAAATGTTTCACCCCAAAAATAACTAGTTCAGCTTTTTTTTTTTTTTTTTTTTTTGGTCTCTTGCAGATCCTCCTCCACACTTCAGAGCCTGCCTGATTTTCCCAATTAGAATCTTAGGCGACCTAGGTAGAGAAGCTTCCGGCTCTGCCTTGGAACTGGGGGGCCAGCTCTGCAGCTCCAAGTGCCTGGGGTCCCAGGAGACCTCGTTAAAGGCTCTGGTGTTCTCCCCTGCGGCCCTTCCTCAGGCCAAGGGGCATAGTCTTGCTCTCGCCTTGTTCTTCCTCTGTGTCCTCCTAGTCCTCACTGTCCTTTACCTTAGGTGAAACTTGTGATTTTGACTTGCCACTCCGATGCTGGAAATTTGCAGGCAGACGTGTGTGTCCCGGCCGCCTAGTTGGTGTATGCTGTGTCTGTACAGGTTTTATTTGCATGTGGGAGGACAGGAGCAGCAGGCAGGACGGCCTCTCCTGGGTGCACGTGAGATCCATTTTTCAGGTGTTTTGCTCTCTGTAGCTGACTGCCTGTCATTAATTGATACTTCTGTGTATAACTGGAGAGGGCCTTTGAGGAGATGGCAGTAAAGGTTCTCTTTGCAAATGAGAGCTTTTCCAAATAATTGCCTGCAAATATGTGGAGTTGCTGTTGGCCCACCTGTGAGGCTCACTGCTGAGCTGGACAGGAGGGTCAAAGTTGACTCATACATGGTTTCTGTTGAAAGCTTGCTCTCTGCCTGGGAAAGGCTATATTGTAACTCAGTCTAGAAAGACCACGACCAAGTCACCAGCAGAGCGATGATGTACTTGTACGGTGGAATAAGACACCTGGACAAGAGATGTTTCGTCAGATCCTGTCATCATCAGTCTGAGCCGAAACTTCACATCCAGCTTTCTCAATTTTGGATCTATCATCTTGAGAAGGGAACTTGTGCAAGGTTGCAGGACCAGGACTGTGGAGTTTATTTATGTGTTTGTTTAGATTAGGAGGAGACTGAGAGTCTTCCATTTACCAGTTCATTCCAGAAGTGGCTGCAACAGCAGCCCTGAGGCCACCACATGGGTAGCAGGAGCCCCAATACTTGGACCTTCTTCCTGGTATGTTAGCAGGAAGTTGGACCTGAAATGAAATAGTCAGGACCTGAACCAGCACTCTGAATATGTGATGTCTGTGTTGGAAGTGGCGGCTTAACCCACTGTGCCACAATGCTGGGCCTATATAGACTTCAATTTTTTTTTTTTTGCTAATTATTTTCTCTTTTTTTTAGATTTATTTATTTACATTGCAAAGTGAGACAAACAGAGAGGAAAAAAGACAGAGAGGAAGATCTTCTGTCCGATGATTTACTCCCCAAGTGACCGTACCGGCTAGTGCTGTGCTGAACTAAAGCCAGGAGCTCTTCCAGTTCTTCCAGGTCTCCCACACAGGTGCAGGGTCCCAAGGCTTCAGGCTGTCCTTGACTGCTTTCCCAAGCCACAAGCAGGGAGCTGGATGGGAAATGGAGCTGCAGGGATTAGAACCGGCGCCCATATGGGATCCTGGCATGTTCAAAGCGAGGACTTTACCCGCTAGGCCACTGCGCCAGGCCCTGCTTATTATTTTCAAATTTTATTATTATCTAAAAGACAGGATTTCAGGACCCACTGCAGTGGTGTAGCCAGTAAAGCCACTGCCTGTGCTGCAAGCATTGTATACGGGCCCTGATTCATATCCTTGTTTTGGGAAAGCACTGGAGGATGGTCAGAGCGTTTGGGCCTCTGCATGTACGTAAGAGTCCTGGAAGAAGTTGGTTCCTGGCTTTGGACCTGGCCTCTCCCCAGTCTGAAGAGACCATGTGAAGAGCAGCCCAGTAGATGGAAGATCTCTTTCTTTCTCCTCTTTTTGTAAATAAATAAATCAATCTTAAACAAAGGGGAGGGGCAGGATGATATACACAGATATCATTCATCTGCTAGTGGCCACACCAAAGTCAAGAACTCCATCTGTTTTTCACGTGAGCTACCAAGTACTGAGCCATCCCTGCCTCCCTGTGTGTGCACTAGCAGAGAGCTAGAATCGGAAGCAGAACTGGGATTCAAATTCCCGAGAGCTATCCGTGTGGCATCCCAACTGCCACATCAAGTGCTAGCCCTGAAATTAAAGAGTTTTCAGTTATTAAAAGTTTATTGATGTTTTTCTTTCAGTGAATTCATTTTGAAAGGCACTGCCTGGCAACTGTGTTAAACTTTCATTTCTGTACCTAGAATGGGGATGGGGTAACAAATTAAAAAAATTTTTTTTTATTCCAAAGAGTTTATGGTCTGTTGGGGAAGAATAAAGAATTAGTCCCTGGGCCTAGCATGGTAGCCCAATGGCTAAAGTCTTCACCTTGCATATGCCAGTATCCCATATGGGCACCAGTTCATGTTCCAGCAGCCCCACTTCCCATCCAGCTCCATGCCTATGTCCTGGGAAAGCAGTTGAGGAATGGCCAAAGTCTTGGGATCCTGTAACCCACATGGGAGATCCAGAAGAGGCTGCTGGCTCCTGGCTTCAGATCAGCTCAGCTCTGGCCATTGCGGCCGCTAGGAAAGTAAACCAGTTGGCGGAAGATTTTCTGTCTGTCTCTTCTCCTCTCTGTATATTTGATTTTCAAATTAAAAATAAATAAATAAATAAATAATTTTTTTAAAGGAGTTATTCCTTGATATTGAAGCCAAGAAGCTTCAAAAAGTTGATGGAAAATAGAACTAAAGATGTTTATTTTGTTATAAAAATGTTTGAAATTCATGCATATTTTTTCACCAAAAAATTTTTTTTCCATAAAATGTTTGATAGCTTCTCAAATACCCAATTGTTAAATTTTGTGGTTGTCATGGAGTTTGTGAAGGGACTGAGGGGTCGGTGTGAACGGTGGTAGGGAGAGCCCTTGGGGCCAGGTTAGGATTTCCCAGCTCTGCTAAACTGATAGGGTCAGGGTTTTTAAAATTTATTTATCCTTTTTTTTAAAAAAATAATGATTACATGGTGGATCGGGTTGGGAAGGATCAGTTTAGGGAAAATTGGGTGAATTCATTGCTTCCAAATTTGCTGTTTCTTGTTCCTCGGGGAAGGGGAAAAGCACTCATGACTTTCTACACATCCCAGCACCCAGGGACGAGGAACCACCTCCTATCAACCCAGAGTCTCAATGTGTACGTATTCCGAGTGTTCTGTCCAGGTGGTTTGGACAGTTCTGAAATGCTGTGGATTTCACTGATCCACAGATGACGTCACCCTCCCAGTGTCCATTGGCTCCAGTCACTGGAATTTTTTGCTGTCATCATTTGGGAAGTTGTCCAATTAGTTCTTTTCTGCTACAGTACGAAATGTGCTGCCTTATTTTCCTTTTGCAGCAGGGCCTGTGTCCACTGCTCCACCTTTTTCATTAAGTAGGACATGTTCTTGCGTGTAAGTCCAAGTAGCTGGGCCAGGTATCCCAAGCATCACTGAATCCCCACCCCTGGGACTCAAACCCAACACCCACCAGGTATGCGGACCTTGGGACCTGGGCCAGGAGACCAAAGCCCCGCCAGATTTCCCACCCCAGGGTTCACAAAACCAACACCCACCTAGCAGGTGGGGTCCCAGAATCTGGGCCAGGTGACTGATAGAGTCAGTTTTTATCAAAAGGACAAGAAAGACATTTGAAATGGGTGATAAAGCTGTTGTATTTAGGGAAGTGTAAAACAGAGGATTAGGTCAGTGGCTGTTAATCTGCAGTGTGCATCGGAGTCCATTAAGGGTGCATGGAAACCATATCGCAGGAGCCAGTCTTATGGCACAGTAGGTTAAGCCACCTTTGCATGCAACCCCAACATTTTTTCTGATCCAGCTCCCTGATAATGCTCCT